TTAAAATCACGTGGAAATTGTGAAACATTTTTAACATAGACCTTAGATTGGCTTTAAGTAAAAGCTTTTCTCCGATGGCTTTCAGCATGCTTTTCTTATTTTTATGTGCAATTTATATTTATTTCTCAAAATGAATACTTAATATCTCAAGTTTTAATCGTAATGGAAATGGAAAACAAGTAACAACCACTCTTTATTTTAATACAGATAATGTCGGCAACTCTCATAAGCATATTGCAAACATGGCTACATAGATAATAGCACTTAATTCTACACTTTATTCCATTCTTTAGTTTAATTTGAACTGAACTACCAAACAACAAGCATCTGCGAGCAATAATTACATGCATCTTTTTGAAAATAATATGGAAAGGGCTACAATCGAATAGAATTAAACATTTACGATTTCCCAATCCCTTGTTGGTGCTTATGGTATCTTAACGAACGAACGCACCAAAGAAAAAGAAGGCAAGTTTCTCGTTCAAAGTCGTAATACGAGTCAGACTTTGCTACCAGAATTTAATACATCATGTTTTGCTTCTAATTTTACAAATAGATGGAAATACAACATGAAAACACCAGATATGACGTATGCTTGAGTTTTATCAGACATTTAATCATTCAATATATATTGGTGCATGTTTTGATTGTAGTCATATATAATTCTTGTTTGTGTATGTTAGAAATTGACCTGACGTTTTAAGTATAACAGTTGGTATTTTGCTCCGTTTTTTATAGCTGCTTATCTTGCACCATATGTTTGAATGCAAGTAAAAATCAAAGTACGATTGTTAGCTTTTTATGTTTCTACCTGATATCTCCCAAAGAATAAATACATTTGCCAATCAGTTTAAAATCCTTTGAATTTTTTTAATCATTGTTTCCACTTCTATGTTTGTGTTCTGTACGAAAAAGATGCAATTGCTCTTTGAAAAGTTCACTCTATATCAAGACTGCTTTGTGGTAAGAATATTGATATAAGTGCTTGTTCTTTTCTTAATTTAAATTATGTGCTTGAGTAAATTGTGACGATTGCCTTGCAAGTAAAATTGGACATGTCGCAGGTTTCATGATAATGAAAATCGCATCGTCAATTACGAAATTTATTTGTAATATTCTAAAAGCACGATTGTTTAGACCGATTAAAAGTACTTGTATTATTCGTTTCTACATATACTGAATTTGAAATATTGATGAAAGATGAGTGCAAGATCAGCGACGTTCACAAAGCGCATGCCTAGAGAACATTCAGTCACATAAGACCCCCCGAAAAGTCACCCATTAGGGCACTCAAAAGAAACTGATCAAAGAAAAGGAAATGGCATCCTGAAAGCCGGGGCAGGAAAGTTGTGCAATTTAAATAAATGTGCGCGTGTATTATTTTCTCTATAAATTTCCTTTATTTTTTAATTCCAACTTGTTTCGTGTAAGTATCTAATGTACATTCTGTAAGTGCCGTGTACTAGACAATTCTAGAAATGTAAGCGTTCTTTATTCTTTTGATCAGCTCCATTGAAATTGAATTAATCTTTTGGAACAACTTTCTCCGCTATTGAAAGTTATAGTAATGGGTTGTTCTCATTTAATGAAATTTAAGAAAATATTATTTTTGTTCCAGTGGGAGTAATGATTTACCTCTGAATTAAGATACCATCAAACTATTTGTCAAATTATACAAGTTAAATGCGTGGTTGCATGCAAAACGACTTTCAGGAATCAGTTCTATACAAATTTTAAGCACAACAACACAAAGAAATATCAATCCATCACACAGTTTCATTAATTACTTTTTTCGTAGCGTCTTTAAAACATGTCTGCCTCTGAAATGCAAGGAATGATTAAATGGTTCATATTGAAAAGTTTGTTTCCACATGATAAATTGCCCTCTGAAAGCTGTTGGATTAGTTTGATTACTTGAGTGATACAATGTCAATAATGTCAAAAAAGATTAAAATCACGTGGAAATTGTGATATATTTTAACATAGACTTAGATTGGCTTTTAGTAAAAGCTTTTCTCCGATGGTTTCTTGCATGCTTCTCTTATTTTTATGTGCAATTTATATTTATTTCTCAAAATGAATACTTAATATCTCAAATTTTAATCGTACTGGAAATGGAAAACAAATATCAACCACTCTTCATTTCAATACAGATAATGTCAACAACTTTAATAAGCATATTGCAAACATGGCTACATGAATAATGGCACTTAGTCCGCACTTTTTTCCATTCTTTTAAGTTTTATTTGAACTCTACTGCAAAAGATGAAGCATTTATGTGCAATGACAAAATGTATGTTTTTGAAAATTAAATAATACGGGCTACAATCGAATACAATTAAACATTTACGATTTTCCAATCTATTATGAGTTATTGGGGCATTTAAACGATGAACGAACGGACGAACGAACCAGAGAAAAAATCAAGTTTCTCGTTCAAAGTCGTTAAATGAGTCAGACTTTGCTGCCAGATTTTAGTACAACATGTGTTGATTGTAATTTTACAAATGGATGGATATACAACGTAAAAAAAAGAAATGGTGTATGCTTTAGTTTTATCAGACATTTAATCATTCAATATCTATTGATGCATGTTTTGATTGTAGTCATATATAATACTTGTTTATGTACCTGACGTTTTAAGTATAACAGTTGATATTTTGCTCCGTTTTTCATAGCTGCTTATCTTGCACCATATGTTTGATTACATGTAAAATTCAAGAAAAAGACTATAAACAGTTCATGTTTCATCCCAAAAATCAATACATTTGCCAACCAGTTCAAAATCCTTTGCATTCTAATTTTTAAAATCATTGTTTACACTTCTATGTTTGTGTTCTGGACAAAAAAGGTGCAATTGCTCTTTGAAAAGTTCACTCTATATCACAATTGCTTTGTTGTAAGAATATTTCTATAAGTGCTAGTTCTTTTCTTAATTTAAATTATGTGCTTGAGCAAAATGTGACGATTGCCTATCACGTAAAAATTGGACATGTTGCAGGTTCCATGATAATGAAAATCGCATCGTCAATTACGAAAATTATTTGTAATATTCTAAAATCACGTATGATTAGACCGATTAAGAGTGCTTGTCTAATTCATATATTCATGTACTGATTTTGAAATATTGATGAAAGATGAGTGCAAGATCAGCCACGTTCACGACGCGCATGCCTAGAGAACATTCAGTCACATAAGACCCCAAAAAAGTCACCCATTAGGGCACTGAAAAGAAACTGATCAAAGAACAGGAAACGGCATCCTGGTAGCCGGGGCAGGAAAGTGGTGCAATTAAAATTAATGTACGCGTGTATTATTTTCTCTATATATTTCTTTTATTATTTAATTCCAACTCGGTTCGTGTAAGTATCTAATGTACATTCTGTAAGTGCCGTGTACTAGACAATTCTAGAAATGTAAGCGTTCTTTATTCTTTTGATCAGCTCCATTGAAATTGAATTAATCTTTTGAAACAACTTTCTCCGCTATTGAAAGTTATAGTAATGGGTTGTTCTCATTTAATGAAATTTAAGAAAATATAATTTTTGTTCCAAAGGGAGTAATTATTTACCTCTGAATTAAGATACCATCAAACTATATGTCAAATTATACAAGTTAAATGAGTGGCTGCATGCAAAACGACTTTCAGGGGATCAGTTCTATTCAAACTTTAAGCACAACAGCACAATGAAATATCAATCCATCACACAGTTTCATTAGTTACTTTTTTCGTAGCGTCTTTAAAACATGTCTGCCTCTGAAATGCAAGGAATTATTAAATGTTTCATATGGAAAAGTTTGGCAATCGAATAGAATTGAAAATTTACGATTTTCCGACTCTTTGGTACTTCTAAGGGCATTTAAAGGTATGAACGAACGCAAAAAAAATTTTCTCTTTCCAAGTTCTATATATGAATCAGACTTTGCTAGCAGAATTTAATACAGCATATGTTGCTTCTAGTTATACAAATGCATATACAACATAAAAACACCAGATATGACGTATATTTGAGTTTTATCAGACATTTAATATATGTTGATGCATGTTTTGATTGTAGTCATATATAAAACTTGTTTGTGTATGTTAGAAATTGACCTGACGTTTTAAGTATAACAGTTGGTATTTTGCTCCGTTTTTCATAGCTGCTTATCTTGCACCATATGTTTGAATGCAAGTAAAAATCAAAGTACGATTGTTAGCTTTTTTTATGTTTCTACCTGATATCTCCCAAAGAATAAATACATTTGCCAATCAGTTCAAAATCCTTTGCATTCTTATTTTTTAAATCATTGCTTACACTTCTATGTTTGTGTTCTGTACGAAGTGTATAAAATATAAATGTTGTACCATTAAATCATGGGTTTTTTTTCTAAGATTTCTAACCTATTAAACAGTTTATGGTGTTGTTACTCGAACTGATGTCATGCACCAAAAGTTTATATCTATATCATCAATTGTTCACAAGAGTGACAAAGTTTAAATCCCGTCTATATATGTATGTTATTTAAGAAATAATATCGGTATCAGTGGTGTTTATCGGCTATATAACCTCGGTTTAGAGTTTTAATGCGTAGGAATTGACCATGAAAGTCGTGTTTTATAATCTCTTTTCGGTGTTTATCGGCTATTTAACACCAGTTTAGAGTTTTTATGCATAGGAATTGACCATGAAAATTGTGTTTTATAATCTTTGTACCGTTCTTTCACTTTTCTTTTTCCATGTATGATATATCACAGTAATGCATTGTGCATTGGGAACAATTTCAAGTAAACATGTAGCTGACCTTATCATTTACTTTTTACCATTTACTTTTCTATCAATTATTTGTGTGTTTCAAACACACATTCATGTGGTTTTAATTCAACATGCTTCCAAAATTATATCAACCACAAGAACCAAAAGAATATCAATTAATATAGGACATTGTAATTACATATGAAGGGTCCAAAACTCTTCTTTAGGATTTCTGGACAATATCTTATAAGTAATCAAACGCAATAATATTATATCTTTATTTACATATCAAAACATTTCAACAAAACAAACAAATCAACAATGTAACAACAATAAACAAACACAATATTCAAGAGCACTTTTGCGACTAGACGTAGGGAATAATGATTGTTTATCAATAAATATATAGAGAGAGAGTCACACATCTTTACATCATTAACGATCATGTAGAAGACTGTGTATACAAAACACTTCTACGTCAAGCACTATATCCATATAAATGATATAAGTATAGTAGGTGAAACCTTTGAAAACGGTGTTATTATTGGAATGTAATACCAATACATTAAGTATTGCGAACACGCCGAAAATTGATGGAAATAATTGTTTTAAAAGCGACAGGCAGTCAATTTGAAGAGAAAACGATTCAACTCAAGTGTCACGTGATTATCGCACGCGCTGAGATATAACCATTGATGTGGTAATTACGCGACAGCATTAGAATCACGTGGTAAATGCGTAGAGTTCCGGAATTATGCATCAAACGTCTATCGTATTTCATTTCATCTGATTAAATTTTCAATAAATAGTGCCTCAATGAGGTATTCTTTAGACATGACTAGAGCTGCAAAGAAAGATATGCTAATAACGTTAAATTGTCAGAACTGTGTTGAGATCTTTACTTGTCTTTTTTTCTGCTCGAAAGCCGCCTCAAAACTGTTCCCTTTCTAATGTCGTTTACAATATTTTCAAATGGTTTTTTATTGTCGGCTGACAATTTAGAAGACCCAAAGTGTCCTGAAGAAAATTGTAATCAAACAAATGACAACCATTTTAACTTTTGCAAAATGCTAATTGCATCATTTATTATTGTCACTTTTTATTGGTTTTATCAAGACTAACTACTTCATCATATTATTGTTTGTCTTAATAAATCATACATTTCAGGATTAAATCATTCATAAAGATTGAAATCTTATTCTTCTTCATGTTGTTTTCAGAAGACTTATACCACCTTTAATATATGTCCCTATACATATATCTTAAAATATTTTTATAGCATAAGTCAAAATGATTATCATTACACTTATACGTTCACATCTTTAACAGCCAAATCGATTTTATATTTTATAGAGTTAAATTTTGTAAAGTGTCATCCCAACCACAAGTGCACTCTATGTGCTAACGGCATGTTAGTCTTTTAAAAACACATAACAATCAGGTTCCAATTGTAGCACTGATAACGTTTTCATACTTCCGAATAAAACATTTTCCGATATATTCTAATTTAAACTTTCCTCCTACAACGTAAGTTACGCATCATTTATTTACCTTTTCTTTTCTCCGACTTTCCAAATTGCGCTGTGCGTCTTTTCTCTGCTTGCTCTGCCATCACTCGCCAAGATTCAAGTTCATGTTCACATGATTTAACTTTCTCACAGAAATCTTTAAATGCTTCAATAAATTCATCAACTTTAAAAGTCTTTTCGTTTTCGCAATAATGCACCGCTAGTTTAGTACATAGCACTTTAATCTGGTCTATCGACCCTTCAATGCTGGTCAGATCATTTTCTGCTTCCTGAAACATTGAGAAAAGTACCATTTAGATTGTTGACTTTATATTGCTAAATGTCACATCGACACATTACGGCAATATGGCAACGTTAAAGATGTTGGAAGAATACCTCAGTAAATTGAATAAAGTTAAACTGGGCACGTAAGCAGCACCACCTAAATTCAATGTCTAAGCTGCGAAATATGTAAGCAGAAAAATACGTATAATCGTTTTGAAACAATTCTTTTCACTGTTTAATTGTTGTTGTTGTTGTTGTTGTTTTTTTTGTTTTTTTGTTGTTGTTTTTTTTTGTTGTTGTTGTTTTTTTCTGTTGAAACACTGTTTAAGAAAACAATTAATATCATTCTGCACTCTACTTCGTAAAACTTTGAATGTGCTTTTATTTTCATTCTTGAAGAAGTATATTTATCGTCGAGTAAAATGTATGCCAGAGTTACTTATACAAAGTGCTTTTCATGTTAATGTTTTATTTGTGAAGAATTAAAATATTTATTTTCCTTAGTTAACAGTTATTTATCACAAATTACCAATCTTACCGAAATAAACCCTGAAAATTGTGTTTTGACTTCCTCTTCAGCTTGTTCCAATGAGCCTTTCAGACGATGCACATTACTTTGTAAGCTTGTGAATTCTGATATAATTCCATCTAAGCTAAACCTAAATAAAACAAAAATATTTTTTTACAATTTTTAAAGAATTATAAGCATGTTGAGTTGCAGGATTATGTTGCATGTGCGAATTATTTGTAATACGTCAAATTACGTAAAGGTTAAGGTTTAGTAGTACATATTTACCGCGCGACAAATTTAATTTTGTAAATACGTTCCAATAAAAGTGTTTTAAATTAGTTCTATAAACAGTCGATTTACTAGACTATTTCACAGTTTGCCCATTTACCAAAGTAAATGTGTTACGATTCATTTGAAATACTGCAATCCTCAAACACTAAATATATGTTAAGCTTAATAAATTTGAATTTGTAACAACAGTATGTTATTTATTTTTGATTTTTAAGATTTACTTTCTACAGAAGCAAGTAAAGTATAAAAATAAGGTCTGTGAGATTTATAAGTGACATACTAAAGGATACATCATTCACAATCTGTTTTGATTAGACATTAAAATGAACAGACCTTGATGCTTGTTGTAGAGGTTCCAACAAATCTCCGACAAATGTAAGTGAATCTTTGTTTTTCTTTTGAGCTTCGTCGACAAGGTAATGTAGCAAAGTCATTTTCGCTGTATTAGACTTTGTCATCAGCAATTTATTGAGTGAACCTACACGAATACCTATTGCCCCTCCAGCGCTGCTTCCCTGAAATCATTTTATAAATTAGTGAAAACAGATGTAATTATGACAAGAATCAATTCAGTAAGTAGCGCACTCTTTTTAAAACAAACAGTGATACACGACACTCGTGTGAGATTTGTTGAGAAAAGCTTGATGATTGATGTTAATCCGTGACTCTGAGTCAACTTAAATCGATGCTATTCATGATAATCTTAAATGAGCTCAGCAAAAATTATTGTGTCTTTTTTTTCATTTTGACAAGTTACTTTTTTAATCAACAGAAACTGTCTACGGAGGGAAAACCTGTCGTGCTTTAGTAACAGATGTTTTGCAAATATATGCCTAAGTATACATAACAGATAGAATTAATAGTTAAACACATGTTGGTTTAACGTAGGCACTACTCAAAATAAACTTCTTTGCGAGTCAAAAAGTACATTGTAAAGATTAGTAACAGTGAATTTTGTACGTTTGAACAGACTCAATCAAACCGAGCCTGCAACATTTTCAATTTTGACGCGTTGGGCTTTCGTTAGGGATTCTTATTTTCTCTATTTGTTAACAGAATTGTTTGTCTTCATTACCATTTAATTCCAGACATATTTCATTGACATGATACGTTTGCATATATTCGTCGAATCGATTAGATTTATGATAAATCGAACCAGGTATATTAATATAAGGACATAATTATCAAGATATTTAAAAGAGGTGTCAGTTTTTTACGTTGATAGTGGTGTGAGCTGCAGCTTGAAGTTTGTATTTTAGTCCACTGACAGGGACAATGAAAAAACAGTTTACAGTTTTGACGTGTTGATTTTCATTGTACTAATTTTAGAAAAATAATTATTTAAATAGTACATTAATGGTGATAATTACCTTGTTTATAAAGTTACCAGCATGAAGGACAAATCTTAAGAACCCTCTTAATGACTCATTGTCCATTAACTTGGTGCAGAGAGATGTTAACACTTGGATATTTGGACGAATTGTGCCAACTTGTGAATTGAAATCCTCTATTAAAAGCATCATTTCGATTCTAAGCTTAAAGTCAGGTAACTGTATCAATTGATGAAAAAACTTTTCTGCCTGACCAAGTCTCTCCGTATCTCCCTCGTACCCTCGAATCATCTCAATCTGTAAGACATCATGAGCTATAAGCGACTTATATATTGAAATTTGAAATTATTTCTGAAGTGCAGTGAAATCACATATAAGTATATATATGACATAAGTATGTAAGCCTTTTTGAACGTATTAGAAAGACCTTTAGTATGTCATCAAATACAGATGAACAGTTTAAATAGAACAATGTCAACCAGATTCAAACATGTCAGACCATTACTACAGTATAAAATTGCGTTTGACTATAATATGTTTGTTGATTTGCTTATGTTACAAATTACTAAAATAATTCACTATGTAAAAATTAATAACCAGATTTTGACTCTCATGTACATGTAAAAAAAACAAAAGTAATGTATGTAAACAAACACGTAGCAATTGTCTGAAATATAAATAAAAGAATTGATAACCAGGTATTGCATTATACAAATAATACAGAATTAGAAATTTTAATAACTTTTTAAAACTTTAAACAATATTTACCTCATCTGGCAGCGGCAGAAGTTTCATCAGGCCCTTAAGCTTTTCTATACCAAGATTTTTAGCATCACCTTCTTTAATTTGCTTGATAACAACGTCGTTTGGTTTTCGGAGCTGCTTCAGAAATATGTTCAGATTCATGCCCTTCTTTGGGTCAAAAAGTGTTACCTATGTTTAAAATGGATAATATATAGTTAAACATTTCAATTTGTTGTCATAACTTTGTTGATAATTTTCAATAACTTCATAGATAATAGATTCATATGCATTGCTATCTATCTGTGAATATGATGCCAATATGCTTAATGCATGGTACACAGCCAAAGGTAGACAAATGTTGTTTAAAAATATTCATAAGCCTTGCAATTATTATTACCTCATGGACCTGTGTAGAAGTTCTATTTTGAGCTTTACTGTCGTCTGTATGTTGTTTTGGAGCAGCTATTTCTTTCTGGGAAAACATTTCTTCTACTTTTGTGTAATCAAGGTCGATTTTATCTTTCATGTTCAGAACCTGGTTCCAAATGCTTTCCTCTGAAAAATATCACGCACGGTTATTATTTGAATTCTTATTCGTTTCAAAATACATGTATATAAGTTATTTGGTAGTCTAAATAGATTTAAAGATTTTTTTTTATTTATTAAAGATAAAAAAATTTGGTACACATACAGTAAAAACTTGATATCAAACTCGACAATAACTCGTTTTGTTCATAAATGTTAATACAAATGTTGATTTAACTTACTCTTGAAAGCATAAACTGGGATCTTGTTCCATGTTAATGTTCTCATTTTCTTAAAAGGAGTTGGTGTCTCAATTGGTTTTGGTGGCGGTGGACCGTTTTGAGTTGCTGCTGGCATTCCGAACATAGGTGCACCAGGAGGTGGTGGCGGTGCTCCTGGTGCGGGTGGTGCTCCTGGTGGGGGTGGTGGGGCAGGTACACCGGGTGGTAATGGTACACCAGGTGGGGGTGGCGGTACTGGTACTCCGGGTGCCTGTGGAAGTGGAGGTGGTGGAGGGATATTTGATGTTCCAGGTAACGGTGGAGCCGGTGGTGGTTGTGGCGGAGGAGGAGCATTTGGAACTCCAGCCAAAGGTGGCAAAGGAGGTGCCTGTGGCACAGATGTTGCATTACACCCTTCTATTGCAGACGGTGTTTCAGAGCGTATCAATATATCTTTTAATGTTAGTTCTGTTTGGACGGCAGAATCATTCATTTCCTTTGTTTCATCTTTGCTAATTGGCGTTGCCGTTTCTGCTGCATCACATTCATCAAATGCATTACTTTGTTGTGTCATTTTCTCTAAATGTGTCAACATCCTGTCACTAAAACCAAAAAGAACAGTATTAAATCATAATTAACCTTACATCGGCATTTGAAAAGAACTAAATGGTTATTTAATTCATTCAGTTTTTATAATTTCACGTCTATACATTCCCTATGCCAGATATCAAATGTGTGCACTTTAAAGCAAGATGTACTTTAGATGTAAATATTTCACATCTTCAAAAAGACTTAACTCAGTCGTATGCAATTAAAACCAGTTTTATCTGTGAATGTTTCTAAATTCAGAATGTCACAATTTCTGTATTTAAATGTTGAATTCTGCGTAAGCCTGTGCTAGGGTGTGTCGACTTGCACTTCTAGCACCTTCCATGAACAGACTCAATCAACCGATCGTGCAACATTTTCAATTTTGCTGTATTGGGATTTCTTTAGGGATTCTGATTTTTCTCTATCTTATATGAATTTCATAACAATTTGTATGGAATGTGCCATATATTTGTCAGGAAAAATGTAAATATTAGTTGTTTAACAGAAATTGTTAATGTCCTTTTTGTAACAGATGTTATTTTATATGAAGTGCCGTGTATCTCAGAAATGAAATGTTATTATTATTAAAAATATGCCTTTATAATTTAATTCGATATAATATGTGTTATGAAGAAATAAGGTAATACATCCATCATACGTTTGTCATATTCCGACATCTTACGTGCCTTATAAAAAAACTAGTAGACGCCTGTATCACTAGGAGAAAAGAAGCCTATCTATCCGACGCTTTCTACTAAATATAGGACTGGCCATATTTTATAAGAGTTATTGAATGACGGATGTTTTTAGATCTTAGTTCTATAGCAAATATGGTTCTTATATACTATTCTAAACAAACGTTCTGTACCTGTGTGCGTTCCCATCGTCGAGTAAAGACTGTAGCACAGTGAGCAGCATTGTGTCGTGAGGAGTCCCTTGAAACTGTTTAAAATATCAATATTACTGTAAAACTATTACTGGTTGAAACTTATTGATAAAACTTATAAATGTTAAAAGTCACTTTTAAATAATAAAAAAACAATGTGTATCTGTTAACAAGTATAAGTCACAGTCTTATTTTTTCATCCAATAACCTGACCTTAATTTGATTGTGTTTGTCAATGATTAAGTTAGTTTGACGCTTTAGACGATAATGAAAACTTTAAATAGAAACCATCCTTCCTACATTGCTCCTTCCGAGCTTTTTAAAAAAAATTCATAAGCGACTATTTCTAAATCTGAATAAGACAATTGATAAAAATTAAAATTAATTATTGCAATCACTATCACACAAAACCCTCCACCAAATTTCCTACTCCCTTCACTGACTTAAACTCAGGTTTGTTGTATTCGATAATACCTTTACTATAGCTAAAGTCTTAACGGTTCAACAAAAATGATTCAGAAAACAAAAAATGAAAAGAAACTCTTTTGTAAGACAAGTTTAATAAAACTCTTTTCTATAAAACTATCCTAAGATTTCTGTAAGAATGTGAAATAAATGAACTTGCTTCTTAAAACGTGTGGTTTATATAATAAATAAAACGGTCTATTTTTACCTTATATACAATCTATTTATTAAGAAAAAAACCTATTATTATCTTTAAAGACTACTGAGAAATCAAAGACAATTTCAAACGTATTACTTTTTCATGGACCGCAGTAAAAACGGAGTTTATGTCATTCATTTCAGTTGTTTTGCTCTCCATAACAGCTTCTGTGTCGGCATGATATTCTTCTTCGAACACGTCACACTGAACCAGTAAATCAGGATCGTCCTCGCATCTCAAACTGCTGATTGTATCCTGCAGGTTCAAATCTGCAATTGTTTTAAAATTTATCGTTCAAAATGAAATGCTTTTTTTTTCAATTATTATCATTTTATGGGTATATGACCATGGCACTTATAATGAAAGGTCTTACGAATACTTTCTAGCTTTACTACTGTGCTTCTGTAAGCTTCCTAGGTAGCTTCATGATCTGAAACAATCCTAAGCGTATATTAGGATTCGAATCCAAAGAGATTATGGCTTTTCTCTAAAGGACTGATGTGTCTCAATCAAAGTTCTATAAAGTTTAATTTCTTTTCTTAGCATTACACCTTTTAAGTAAAAACAAATCATGAACTCGCTGGTTTAAACAATTTTTTCATAGAAATTATTTAACCAAACTCATTTGCAATCCATGCTTGATAAAGATATCACAATAATCTTATATGGTCATCTTTGCTTATATAGTTATCACATTTGCTTAGAGGGTGTTTTCATTTCAATTATCACATTTGCTTAGAAAACGTGTTTTACTTCAATTATCACATTTGCATAGAAAGTGTTTTATCCAGTAAGCTTAAGTTTTAACTTACATCAAGGCTTACGTTTATACACAAACATTGTTTTATATTTACCGAGAAACTCGTTCCGGACTCGAACCCTATCTTTAATGTTTTCATTTGCGAAAATGATAGCGTTAATGAGAGCCATGATGATTGTCTTGTAGGCAGCAAGTTCAGAATGCCTGACTTCATTCACCAGTAAACCCATTCGGAATCGCATTTTCTGCCAAAGCTGAAACATAAAAAATGAGCCGCGTCACGACAAAACCAACATAATGGGTTGCGACCAGCATGGATCCAGACCAGCCTTCGCATCCGCGCAGTCTGATCAGGATCCATGCTATTCGCTATCAGTTTCTCTACTTGTTATAGGGTTGGTAAGCGAACAGCATGGATCCTGATCAGACTGCGCGGATGCGCAGGCTGGTCTGGATCCATGCTGGTCGCAAACGCACTATGTTGGTTTTGTCGTGACGTGGCTTAAATGACCAGTTATGTTATTGTATAAGGTAAAAAAATCTGAAGAAAGTGTGATCCCACGGAAGCATTAATCACAACAAAATTACATGAGATTTGCAGACATGTATATCTACACAAAGTTTTAAAACTACTTAAAAATGATTCATCACTTATTATTATGAATTGGATTTCAATTGATGAACTCATCTTTAAACCGATGATTCAGACTGCTATTACATCATAATGCTGTCATGAAAATTACAAATTCACAATGTATTATTTTCATCCGTTGAGAAGTATATTTATCGTCGAATCATATGTACGCAATATAATAATTATAAATAACTATGGTGTAAATGTTACAAAGAAAACGAAAGGAAATAAGTTTTATGTCTACCATAAATATATGTGTTATTATCATTCAAATTATAAAGTTTGTCTAATAGAAAGAGTGAATCTTCTTTTTTCACGACACAGATAATTCCCACAGTGTTTTTAAAACTACAGTTCACATATAAGTTATTGTAGCTCATCATCTAAAAGGCAATGGTGTGCTACTCGTATATAAACTCGTTGTGACAAAATATTTGATATTGTAAATTGTTTATACATTATATATCATTATGTGCTTTTATAAACAAGTCCTTATAATATTGTAGTTTTGTAGATTTTTTTTCTATACTGTCAGACATACCCTGTATCTTTCTAGAGCCTCCAGTGTCAGGTAATAGCCATCTTTCGAGTAGACACACAATGCCGACAATAACTCAAATATCTGTATCTTCACCATTACATGTTTGGTCTCTAATGCTGAAAAAATACGAAAACAAATCATACTGTAGATTTGTTATGTATGAGTACATGTTGTATCTATCTAAATTTTCGTTTTCTTATCTCCCTTTTTTTTTTTTTTATAAAATTATTTTTAATTAATATGAATGCTCATGGGGATGTTTCATAGGTTTTTTTCTGAAAGTGTATCTATGATGTGACTTAAACCAAATTTATTAATTAAAACGAATTGCCAATTTATTATTGTTGATGTTTTTTATGTAAATTCGGGTTGAATTAGCCTTGATATATGCGGATCGTTCTGTCTGCAAACATTTAGTTTAAAATCTAAGATGAGTTATAAAAATTCGCTTATACGAATGAATGAGTCATTCATAGTCCTTGAGTCGGATTTGTAAGAAATTATTAAAAAAAAACTTTCAAATATTTAAAACTTTCTTTCAACTTTTGATATGCAGTCTCCAATTTGAAAAAAAAGTATGAGTACTTTACCCTAGATATATAAAATTCAGTAAAACATTTCTAGTTTCAATAAGTAAAATAAAATAATGACGAAATGATTTATGTTTAATGAATGTATTAATATGCCTTAACATCTGATGTACTGATAATTATAGGTTATTATACATTTTACCGTACAATATGGGAATATAGTTGGACCAATATGACTTTTCACACTGTGTACAAGTCCAAATATATTCCTTATTGTACAGTTAATGTATAATAACCTTTTTATTATATATCTTTCGTTTAATTTGAAATATCATCATCATCATCACCCCAACAAAAACACCACCAATATCATCATCAACACACACCACCACCATTATCAACAACAAAACCACTACCACTATCATCAACACCATCAATATAACCACCAAAACCACCACCACTACTACCATCATCAATAATAGCCCTGTGACCCCTATCAGATTTTTTAGAAGAAAATGTAATAATTCATGAATGTTTTTGTTGTATACAAAGATTCTACCTAAGTTTTAGGATTTGACTGATACAACGAATACGTTTTAGACGTTATTTATTTATTTATTATTTTCTGTGAGTTCAAGAATGCATTGATACTTACGTTTATCATTAATATCTGTTTAATAAACGTCATAATTATATAACAGTAAATTCGAAAAATATCACATTGACACCCCTTATCTCAATTATCACATTAACAATAGTATAACGCTAAAATTTAACGCTATGTTTATATAACGCAAATGACGTCACGTCAAAATATATGTACGGTCGTTTAGTGCACATGTACCAAACCGTCCAATATGAAAATAATATATTTTTGGATCCAATACGGGAATATATTGAATGGTCACGAGGTACAAAGGCAGATTGTCGATTGGTTAGATGTATTTGATATATATAATGATTCTTAATACAATAACGTGTTCACAGACCAATACTTTTGCGTACATGAAGTGATCATTGTTTATAGATAGAAAAAAAACATGGCCAATATGACTCATAGCTTAAGATATTTTGCCTCATATATGACTAAATAACTACGTTAGTCTGGTCAATTGCCTAATGTAAACTATTGGATGACAATATTTAATGACAAGCTATCGACGAGTATTAATACGTGAAATAGGAACATAAATTGTATAGGTAAAATAAAAATATATATTTTTATAGCATTTGTCGTGATTCGTTTCATATCAAGTTGTGTGACAATACCACTACAAAAATAAACAGTCAAAGTAAACATCAATAAGTCACAGCCTTAAAATCAATCACTAAAATCATAGCTTAATTGGTTACGGATGTAATGCCTTGAGATAGTCGCCCATTACTTTTGTAGATTTTTATCAAATGATTATAACAAACAAGTTATTATATGGTGAAATAAATATTTTGCAGATTTTGCTGAAATGTAATGTGTTGACATTAGACAGGAAAATGTCCTTAAGATTTTAAATGCCTTTTCCTTTTATTTGAAATTGTCAAAAGTAAATAAATTAAAGTCATTATTTGAATATCTGGTTACATAATATCACTGCATGCATATCCTTGAACTGTCGCAGGTAAAACGATAATTATATCTGTAATGTCTTATATGGTGAGATAGATCCGATATTTATGAAAATGTACAATAGGGTAATAATAAAATATTGCTTATTCAATGAACAATCAGTATAAATATAGAGACTTTTGAAATTATAAATACTAACCTCTTACGAGGCAGATAACGTATTCCCAATGGTTAATGAAAAAGTCCTTCCCCGATGCCGAGTTGACAAGTGAAGTTGCACATTCCGATAATAACGTCATCTTCGTGACGTCAAACAACGTCACCAATCCCGCACAGGCGAGAAACTCCATTTGCTCCAGTAATAAGTCAAGCCCGCGACATGCTATGAACTCCTCATTGAACGAACCGCCTTCTTTTGAGATTTTACTGTTTAAAACAATAAGGAATGGTACTTTTGAATATTTCAGAAGATCAACTACTACTTCTGGGTCACTATGATCTAGTTTTGGAAACTTTAAGCGTTCTACAATCCGGTCTCTAATTGAAGCAAGTTTTGGATTCACCACAGGCTCTCTATGAAACACGTCATCAATCCCGAAATCTACACTAGACCATGGTGTCATATAATCATCGGAACATGTGGCTTCAGTTTTTACTGTTTCCTTGCTTTCGTCCGCATCCTCTCTAGCTAGGTCGTCCGCATCCTCTTTTGCTAGATCATCCACAGAGTTTGATTGCATAGCATTCTCTACAAGATCAGTTTGTGTCCAAACTGTGCGTTTTATTGGTTCCTGTTTGAAACTGAGCATTGAAAAATTCGACATAGATCTTTGTGAGATCATGCTAGCACGAGTATGATCTCTTGTCCCAATTGATGCAGTAGATAATTGGTCAAAGAGCGATTCTACTGAGCGGTTGTTTCTCAGGATATTATCCTTATCGTCGGTGTCATCGTGACATTCAACAGTTATTGTTACTTTATTTTCGTTATTATCGTTCGCATCTGCTGCAATCTCCTTTGATTCTTTATCATTATCAAGCGTTCCCTTTGTATCTTGTTTAATGATGTCTTCCTCTGATTTGGATCCCTGTAGTTCAACACACGAGCCATTCTTGTCAGTTTGTTTGTCATTTTTGGCATGTTTGGATTTCTTGCTAGGTTTAAGCTTAGACAAAAAATGTAGTTTTTTCCGAAGGTTTGGAAATTTCCGATGGTGTGATCGAGAAGTTCCGGTTGCATCTTGCGGACGGTGCCGGATACGGTCCAGAGTTTGCCTTAATTTCAGCATGGTGGAATGGCTTTAAAACCTACAAATAGTAATGAATTTATTTATCATTGAAAAGTAAAAAATAATATAACTTAATAACGTTACCGCTAACACACTCCTTAGTTGATATCCATTCAATGTTCAACTGTATCAATGTTCAACTGTATCAGTCTCTAGAACAATACCACCCTTCTTTAGTTCATTTGTTAAAGTGAAACCAAAACAAGAGATTTTTTTCCGAATTACATAATTACGTAATCAATATATATAGACTTCGAATAATTACGCTGTTTGAATCATTAAATATTATTGGCAATATCTAATGCATAGGGCAGGTTTCAAGTGACCAAATATAAATTTATTTATTCACACGGGAAGTAGCTTGTTATTAAAGTTATACCGAAACTTTGTCATTGTTTATATAGTACGCTTTGAAAATAAAACAGCCTTTTACAACCCATTAGAGCCGTTAATGTGGTAATTAGTTTTATACGTACAAACAACGTTGAATACGTCAGAAACGCTCGCACATGAGTACGTTGATAATTAACAATTATATTTTTGATATACTTTACATATGGTCCAGTATTAAAACTTAGACTGCCAAAATCCTGTATAACCCCATGGACTTGTTTGCGTGGGCCTGATTTAAGTATATGGTAGTGTTCATCTGTGCTGTTCTTTACAGAAATTAGAAACTTCGACGGGAGAGATAGCACTATGAAAAATGAATTTTATATAGGCCTAGTATCGACTTTTTTTCTTCTGTGAAAATTAACACAGAGAATTTTTTAAGAAATGCAGCGTTTTCATTGGATGACAAATAAAGTTGGACACTAATATATATATATATATATATATAAAAATAAAACAGCCTTTTACAACCCATTAGAGCCGTTAATGTGGTAATTAGTTTTATACGTACAAACAACGTTGAATACGTCAGAAACGCTCGCACATGAGTACGTTGATAATTAACAATTATATTTTTGATATACTTTACATTTGGTCCAGTATTAAAACTTAGACTGCCAAAATCCTGTATAACCCCATGGACTTGTTTGCGTAAAGACTTAATTTGGTTGGGTTTTACGTCGCACCAAAATAGTAACGTTCATATGGCGACTTTCCAGTCTTACAGGTAGAGGAAGACCTCAGGTGCCCCTAAGTTATTATTTCAGGCCCTAAAAGGCACCTTAGTAGAACTGCCGACGTTCCGTAAGTACATAATATATATATATATATATATTCACACATATCTTCACTTACGGGGCCCATATATAAGACCGAGTTGAGTGGCATTATTTCATGCAGTCAATTTTTATATACGCCACTATATAGGCCTATAATGAACATTTCCATACAACAGAACTAAGGGGTACTAAGTTATATATATAAACTATATATTTGATTTTACCATAGGTGAAAACATATTGACCAATAACATAAAACCCCATAATAAATATACACATTTGTGGGACATATATCATTTACTACTAAAACCGGCCTACGGGCACTATGTTAGAAGGGTAGCCTACGCCCCCATACATCGTTTTAAACATGCCAGAGTTGCGAGGCCTTATGTATGCCCCACATTAAATATACACCCCACAAGTATGGTCTCAAATAGACCGATGCCCCGTAAATGGAGGAATGTGTTTGAATATATATATATATACAAACAACCGTTTATATAGGACAATATAACCTGTCATAAAGACTTAATTTGGTTGGGTTTTACGTCGCACCAAAATAGTAACGTTCATATGGCGACTTTCCAGTCTTACAGGTAGAGGAAGACCTCAGGTGCCCCTAAGTTATTATTTCAGGCCCTAAAAGGCACCTTAGTAGAACTGCCGACGTTCCGTAAGTACATAAAAGTACCCAAAGTCCCAGGCGGGATTCGGGCTCACGGCGACGAGTGACAAATGGGTTAATGCAACGACCTTAACCACTCGACCACGGACGCTGCAACATGATCACAATTGCTTATTTTATCTTATCACTATAGTGTGGAATATGTTCTCCTGTTTTAAATAAACATTATCTTTGTGAAATATAGTACGTGCATACAGAAAATAAACACGGTACGTAGTCAGTTCTTTATATAAAATGTTCAAGCAAAATATCAAGTGTACTGTACAGTTATTGTTCATGTTTGTTAATTAATTGCGGTCCATGTAATTCCTTTCAACGCAGTTGTTTTTATATAAATTATGTAATTCCAATGTAAATCTTATACAATTCCCATGTAAATATTATACAAAGAAAAAGTAATGTACACTTACATGTTTAACATTGATTTATATCCCAACGTTAACCCCATGATATTTTTGAATGCGGAACGTTATTTACGGTGTACGCTAACACATAGACACGGTGTCCGATGACAAGTGATTGATATTTGTAATAAACAATAAGTAGTATACTATAATATTTATAGTCTTACACAATTGTACGTTACATTACGTTAAAGATCCCCGTTGATTTTTTTATATGAAATTAGAGAGAAAAAATCCTAGCTAAAGATTTATTTGTCATTTTTTGGGGAAAAAAATTAATTTAAATATTTTAACTGTTTAGATTTATCAGAAAAATGTCGTCATTGAATATTTATACTTTTAAGTTCCTATCTAGTTTAGTAAAAAAGGAAAATATGCGAATATAATGAAACACTCTTTGTTGTTTTTTTTATATTTGTTATCATCTCCAATGGATCTAAGATAATCCAGCATATAAAACTAGATCTGATATTTGGAACACTCAAAAGCAAGTGAAGATCTACGAGTCATTCTATCGTGAACTTCCGGCATAGCTAGACCAACAACTCTAATAAAACACGGAGAATTACGAAGTTTGCCGATTTTGCACGACTCCTTTGATCTGGTTGTTACATCTGTCGAAGGTGAAAAGATCAAGACGATTATAAAAAGATAAAAACAAAAGATGTTTCGTATTATTGTTATGTGACACAGAAACAAGGAAAATAAACTGTTCATTTTTTTTTTAAATAATTCATGCATGCATATAATAATGATGTAGGATTTGAAAACATATACATGTAGATGTTAAGGTACATTTAATGGCTTTATTTTAACGTTCAGACTGAAATATGTTTCTATTTAATTTGTCGTTTTTATTTATTTATTTATTTATTTATTTATTTACTTATTTATTTATTTAATTATTGCTCAGTCATTCATAAAGGCAAAAAATAAATGGTGGGAAGGGCTTAATTAATTAATGTTGTAAGAACTTGTTGCCCAACCCATTCGCATTTTGAAATATATACTCATTATTTGTATATATGTTTGTAAACTTGTATTGAATGCAATAAAAAATGTTTCAACTAATAAATGGTGTTTATTATAATTGAGCCGCGTCACGACAAAACCAACATAATGGGTTTGCGACCAGCATGGATCCAGACCAGTCTGCGCATCCGCGCAGTCTGATCAGGATCCATGCTGTTCGCTTACAGACCCTATAACAAGTAAAGAAACTGATAGCGAACAGCATAGATTCTGATCAGACTGTGCAGATGCGCAGGCTGGTCTGGATCCATGCTGGTCGCAAACCCATTATGTTGGTTTTGTCGTGACCCGGCTCATATTATAATGAAATCCTGGATCCGGTTTGTCAAATCACATGTTCGAGTATTTATACTGAACGACTAATCTTCTCAGTGTCATTAGAAGCGTAGAAAAGTCTGTAAAGTTAACAAAAAATACACAAAAACAAAAGAAAATGTACGTTTTCTTGACATTTAAACAAAACAGAGCTATTTGATGAATAAGAAAATGAATAGTTAGTTATTCAATTGCAACGTAAAAATACACAGAGATAAATACTCAAAAAATGATACAATAGTAAAAATACAACTTACCAATTAACCGAAAAATTGTCGCGGTAACTTGATTTAAATCTTCCAAAAGAGAGCAAGGCACTAGCCAGTGTAATATAAGCAACAACGGACAATATAAACTTCCATTTTTCGAGTCCTGCTTTTAACACGATAACTTTGTAAAGTAAGATATCCGAGATGATTGTAAGTCATTGGTATACATGTGTCCGTATTTACTTCCTCAAACACCGGATTCTGACAAGCATTTTGTTATTCTAATGTACTTGACAATTAGAATTTGAAATTACTGTTTTCCTGTGGATGAACAAATGATACAATACATTATATACGAAAACGTAACTATTTAAGTGATTTATAAATAACTTTTATAAAATGGAAAAACGCGTAACGTGCTCTGTCATTATGAGAGTGGAGACGCCCAAATGCAGTTGATGAAAGCTACTCATTAAATAAAATCAAGGACATGGGTGTTTCTTAAAGATAATGCTCCTGTTAAAATTGAACGGTCTAGGACAGGTTTCTTGAAAATATAACTCTTTTCATAGTTTTTTTTTGTTTGAACAGCACAATACAAGTTTATAATAAGCATCCTTTTTACTTCTTTTTTTTATCTTCCTTAAGTTGACATTTGACCGCAGTTTACTTCATGCTGAACTACAGTGATTAATTGATTATATCATAATATAGCATGTCAAAATCATTGTATATATGTATGTCTGGAACATGTCTGGTCTCCTTTCGAATAATAGTAGAGCTATCCCAATCGCAACTTTTCGGCCCTTTCTGTCAGTCAGTGGACGTTCCGATCGACCCGGGCATCCGCGTTGGCGTCGGCATTACAATCTTTGTTTTAGTTCTGCATGTAACATCATATCTAATCAACCACTTAATATATTTCCTTGTAACTTCATTTCAGACCGTGATATTAGGTCACGATCCAATACCCATAACTCTAGCTTGGGTTTTGACAGAATTCTGGCCCCTTCTAACTTAGATAATTCTTTGTTAAAGTATTGCATACAGCATCAATATCTTCAAAACTACTTACGGTATTCACTTGAAACTTTATACACGTCTTTGTGGTCATAAATGGAGGTCACATTCCAAGGCCTATAACTCTAGCGTGGAATTTGAAAATGCTACCTTGGTTTAGGTTTTGTTTGCAACATTAATCTTTAGTAAAACTATTAATGGTATTCACTTGAAACTTTATTCATGCTTTTTTTTATTGTAATTCATAATCACTTTCTAAGACCAATAACTCTAGCATGGATTTTGAATGAAATAAGGCCTTTGTCAACTTAACAATTTTTTGGTCAATATCCAAAACTCTTAAAGTTCTATGTCCCGTACAATATTTGATTTTTAGTCTTCTTTGTTAATAAGACTCTTCTTTTACTATCAAGCCCTGGGGAATAGTCGATTACGCTGTTCTATCGACATTTCTTTTCTTTTTTTAATATTTGCAATGCTTACAGTGTTAATTCGGTTATGCTTAAGAAACTCATAATAGGTCGCAAACACCAATTTACCACTGTAATAAGATGTTTATAGAAACTTTGAAAAATGATTTAAATATTACCAGACCACGTTTTTATATGACAAGGAAAATTATCATAATTCTGTTTATCAATGTAAGTTACTCGCTTTATATATACTGTTTTGTTCGCTATATAGAGGTTTTTAAAATTTACTTATTCCTTGTATTGGCTATAAGAAACATCGGATATAGCTAGCGTACACAAAATTCACGAGTTCGCCTTAAATGAGTTTCGCTACATTATTCCATTGCGATGCAAGAAATTACAATAGCAATGTGAATAATATATAGACTCATTTTTCCATTAATTGTTTGACTGTTATGATATGCTTTTCATTTCATTAATAAATACCTTAAGCCAGACTTCCCAAATGTTATTGACACATATAAATCACAATCCAAGGAATAAATTTACAAGTTAAGTTATCTTCGTGCGTATGGGGATAAAGTTGTCTATGACGTCGTTGATTGCGAGTTGAAATCCATTTTGGGGAATTACATTAGTCTTTGTCATCAACAGTTTACTATTCAACTTGTGGAATTTATTTGTGGTCAATCTCTATCTGGGACATATGTCCTATTCTACATGTTCTATATAGATTCTCATCAGAAACTCACTAATTTTTGCAAGTTACATGTAGCAATAATTTATCCGAAACAGCTATACTGGTCAGTATATTGAAACTGGTCTGCAACATATGGTGGCTGATCACGCCACGTCGCATTATTTTCGCCATGAAAATTTGCACATTATTGCGTTCTCAAGACGAAAAACCAAAAAACACACACACACACACACACACAAAAAAAGACGACACAATCGGGCAAAAATACGACACTTAAGATGTCGTGTTTTGCAATGCATATTTCGTGTCGTTCAAAAAATAAATAAAAATAATATTTGGGTTACCTACCTCTCTATGAGACCCGATCCTTTATCAATATATTGGTCGCTTAATTAATACAAGTATATACGTGGTCGCTTACAGTTTCATGTACTTAAATTAACAAGATAATAATCCTTTCATGGACTGCTAGTAGATTCTGTGGACTTTTTAAATGCAGTGATACAAAACAGGGTCTTTCAAATTCTATTTGAAAGACCCTGCATAGAAAGACCTGGGACACTGGGGCGTAGGATATCCTAACATTTTAAGTTCAAGGGAAGACATTAGATAAAGCACTACCCAGGTCAAAGGGGGTGCTCTAATTTAATTTAATTAATGCGAAATTTCCAACCATTTTAATCCAACTAATCATCATATGATTCCAGTTAAATTTTATCATATATAAAGAAGCTGTGGTTTGTTAGTACTTATTAAATTACTTACTTTTTAAACATGTTGAAATTGTTGTTGTGCTTTTTTTATTTTTAGTATTTTTTGATAAATAAGTTTTTAATTAAAGTATTTTGATATTTTTTCGGTAGCAAGACACTCACCCTCCAGACACTTCACTCCTCAAATTTTGAAGACACTTCACCCCTCAAGACACTTCACCCCCAAAAATCAGTAAGACACTTTACCCCTCATCCATTTTTTTTCTATAAAGTAAATTAGCCAACAACATAATGCTTTTATATGTTTATTTTAATTATTTTTAGTATTTTTTACCCCTCAAGACACTTCACCCCCAAAAATCAGTAAGACACTTCACCCCTCATCCATTTATTAATTATTAATTAACACATTTTTATTAAAGCCGCGATTTACGCGATGACAGCGTTATGAACATATAGTCGTGAGCAAACGGTCACCCTACAAACAACAACAACAACAACAACAATTTCAACATGTTTAAAAAGTAAGTAATTTAATAAGTACTAACATGTTTATGTTCATGTAACCGAGACTTTCTTCTTTATTAACATTCATTCCCATTGTTGATAGATTTATGACATCAGTAACTTGACCGTTTGAAGTTGAGATCAAAAAATCCGCTTAGTGTAAGTGTTGTAATTGTCGGATATTGTTAAATTCGTATGGTAAAAAAAGGTTTACTTTACAGGTTATAATTTCTTGATTAAATTTATTGGTTATAAACTTTTGTCTTTACAGCTTAGTCCAATCTTTTAAAGGTCAAAAGTTGGGATTATTTTGTTTTTTTCTGACCATTTTTGTTGTCACTGCTATGAAATATGTCCATTAATTACTTAATAAAACCACAGGCAAAAGTATCGGACCTGGGAAGAAAAAATATGACCAGATTGATAAAAAAAACCTGTGTTCATCTTAAAAGTGTCAAAAAAACAAAAAAAATGTATATAATGACCCCCTTTAAAAATATACTATAAGTTAAGAGAAGGCCGGAAACTCCAGATTCGAGCCTACGAGCAAGGGATTCATTTCCCGGGCCGTTGTGAAAACAATTGGCCAGACAATTAAAAAAAACTTTTATCACTATTTCACGTTTATATAAAGCTTCAAAATGAGACCAACCCCAAGTCTCTAGCCCTTCCCGTTCGTGAAATATCTATCAGGAAACGAGCGACTTCGTGCTAAAAATCCTTGGTAGACATAATTGCGGCACAACAATTCGTTACATAAACATAGACTAATACATGTATGTCAGCTGACTACGGGTCAAAATTACTTGAATTTACTAAATAATATTACTAAATACATTAAGTTGGACCACTCACAACCGTCAGTAGCATCTGATACACGCAAAATTTGAATTTCAAACATTTCCACGGTCTTTAGATTACTTTCTACGCCATTGTCAATCAGCTGTTCGATATTTTGTAACGAGTCTTCTGATTGGCCAATAGCAACGAAAACCGGAACGTTTCACACAAGATGCATAATGGCGTAGAAAGCGATTGAAAGACCGTGTAAATGTTTGAAACTCGAATCTCATGTGTATTTGATAACATAGTTTTAGGGATGGAAACCTGCCTCTGTATACATGTATGTTCATTGTTGTAAATGAATTTTAGAAATTTTAATTATTTAATTACAATGTATTTAAAAAGTGAAAATTACTGGGGTTTTTTTGGTGTTTTTGTTTTTCCGAATGTGGAGCGATTGTTAGTACATGTACAAGCATATGCTGGAAGGTATTAGCACTATTGGAAGAAGAATATTACTGATTGACAGAAAAATATTGACAGTACATCAAAATTATTTCTATTGATAAAGCTCCTGTTGAAATCTACCGATAGTTAATAGTTTAACTCTTAATTCATTGAATTTGTTTTATGTATTTGAGTCAATCATGACAAAGTAATAGATATTTGCATACATGTACATGTATATTACAACATTTATTTTGCAATTTGTTTTTTCTTTTAAAGGTTTGATGAAAAAGAAAATGTTTCTGGTGTTAATAATGCTAAGTCCTCGGTCCAGAGAGGGGTGAAATCATCTGTGCTGGCACAGTTTCCATTTGTTGAAGGGTACATGGATCAGATCTTGCCAAAAAAAGATGCTTTGAAACTTGTGAAATGGTAATAAATGTTAACAATTTTGTAATATAATATTGATTTATGCAAGGCAAGTGTACAATATTTGTTTGAAATTATCTTTATTTTAGACTAGGACATAGTATAATAGGACAAGCCGCTGGAGATTAGTGCCAAGTTCTCCTTTCACCTTCAAGTTCAGCACTTCTTCTTTCAGGTGATGATGATTAATCGCCAAATTATGCTGTATATTACATTATCAAAATAATATGAAGCATGTGTTGGCCATTTCTAAGGAAGAAAAACTGTACTCAGTATCTGAGGATTAATGTGACAACTTAACTGCAGACAAAAAATACCCTTTCACAACAAAAAAGCAGCAAAATTTGTTGATTTATAATTACCATCTAGAACTTGAAGGTGAAATAATTTGCTGTATATTTAAAAATAGCTGAATGTAAACAAAGTTTTATTTTGACTTCCAAGTTCCATGTTAAATGAATTTAGTTGTGCTAAATTCCAAAATACAAAAGATAGTTCAGCCAATGAGTTTCTTTTTGGAAACTGTAACAGGACATCAAAAAGTAAAAATGTTTTTGAGAAAGAAAAGTGACATCAATTTTGGAGGTTAATGACCCTTTAAAAGAGTTACCCGGTAATAAGAGACATATAAGCCAATATGTGCACTATTTTAATATTTTAGTAATAAAATGGTTATGGTATGAATTGAAGTTTACATTATGGAACAAGATGAGACAAGTTCTAACATGTGTTTGAATATGATACTTTTCAGTCATGAGCATATAGAGATTCTGGCCAACTCCAGCGGAGAACCAATATTTTTCAGACAGAGAGATGGACCTTACTTTCCGACACTCAAACTTCTGCATAAATGTATGATACACAATAAGTTTTATTTTCCTAAACAGTTTTACTGTGCGCCATGCAAAAAATTTAAAAATCAAACATAAGAATTAAATTTTTCTTATTTAGAAACAGAAGTTTTATACTTCTGTCCTATACATTTACATGTAGTTGAAAGTTGTTCAAACATAACAAAAGACCAAAAAAAACTTTGAGTGTATTGCTGAAAATTAATGATAGTATAATTTACTATATTATATACTTTAAATCATGTTTTGCAAAACCTTTTCTTTTTCCAGATCCTTTTATGTTACCACACATGCAAGTGGACAAGGGGGCAATCAGATTTGTTTTGAGTGGTGCAAATATAATGTGTCCTGGACTCACATCACCTGGTGCAAAGATGACAAAAGTTGATAAAGATCAGATAGTGGTACATATTTCTAGTTTTCTTACTGTATTCAATGTGAAAAATAAGAAATATTAGATTGAAGCAGATTATCTCTTGCTTTCACTTATTTTATAATTGCATTATACTAATATCAGTGCAATTTGATTCATTACTATTGTAAAAATTAAGTTTTGTTTCAATCATGGCCTTTTATAAGTTAAACTGTCATGTTAGTTGTACCTAAAATTCCTGTTTTATTAAATGTATAAATGGTTGCTTTATAACATTGTTTGATATTTACCTAATTCTAGAATTGCCTAATCGTTTATGCAATGTACTTCTGTAGGGAGTTCTTGATAGGCATTTGCATGTAGCCTTTGAATTTTTTAAGTTATGTAATTACATTCATTTCATTGACAAATAATACTGTTATAAAGATTAGGGCTTGCTCTAAATTCACAACTAAAATAACTATTCAGCTACTTTTCTTTGTGTCTGAGAGAGATATGATGTCATGTATATGGCATCCAAGAAATTCACTTGCCAATCAAGTGTTTACTTACAGCAACATTTATCCATTATTTAAATTTATGTTAACTTACAAACTTATAAATTTGACAGCATGATGCAATTAACATTTTACTGGATTATGTTACTTCTGGATCCAATTATCTTTAACATCAGTTTATATTATTACTGTACAATGTTTCTTCATTATCTACTAACATTTACTAACCATTTTTGTTACTGGGCATAGTTACTTTAGGATAAAATAATGTTTTCATGAATCAAAATATTTATATTCAGGCAATAATGGCAGAAGGGAAAAGTTGTGCTCTTGCAATAGGTGTCACAAAAATGTCAACAGATGATATGTAAGTTATGTTTTATGCTATTGTTTACCTTTAACACTACTTAATTTATATTAAAGATGTTGAATATGCCTTTAACACTAGTTTATTTATATTAAAGGTGCAGAATTTGGTACATTTTGTTATTATATCCTCGGCTTAACAAAATTGTAATCTTTAGATAATTAGTTAAGTAAGGCTGTATGGCCTTCTGTAGACACAATCTTGTGTCCTTCTCCAAAACCACTTTACAAATTTTAATAAAATTTGACAGAAGTAATCAACATGAAATTAAAAATCTTAAAGAGTTAAAAACTAGAGGAAATGTATGTAGTATGTGCAATGTCTTAGATATTCCTACTTTAGTTTCATAGAATTTGCATGCCTTTACATGAACTTCCTATGCTTCTCATGTGACATGGAGGGTGGGGAATATTGCCCTTATCTGCCTGTCCTAAGACTGACAAGACAGTGGAATATGTGGGGCATCCTTGTCCTATGGATACATTTTTAAAGTTTAAACATAATTTAACATTAATTTAAAATGTCTTCATAACAAGGGATCATAGTGTAATTGTTACTGTTTTCAGTCATTTGATTTTTACATATATTTTTCAGTTTCATCTTCTTTTTTGTTTCAGCCTTGAAAAGAATAAAGGTATTGGCGTGGACAATATACATTATCTTAATGATGGACTTTGGAACATGAAAGCAGTTAAATAACACCAGTGATGCTCTAGTTTTAATTTATATAACAAAACAAAAAATGTGCTAATACTTCCATGAGATACCACAGTAGACTATCTGAGTTATACAGTCAACAAATCCGGGCTTTACATTCTTAATAATATTGCATGAGTGTATTATTTTGATGGGGTAACTTGATTAGGTTGATTGTGTAAAGTTGTATTTACAGGAACTTACGGGCCACTTTGAATACAATTTTTCACAATTGGCTAGAGTGATGTAATCCACCATAATACCTGTAGAACACTTACATAATTTTCCATTTATTATGTATCTTCAGTAACATATGTAAGAAAATTTGAGCAAAATGAAAGGAATAATTTTATGAATTAGCATATGAATATATAACATCAATGCACACTTGCAACAGAAGTTGGATATGGAAAATCATTCCGCATGAATGTATTTCTTCTACAGTTAAAAATAACCATATTTTTTATCAGAAAACTTACATGTGTATAATAAAATTGTATACATGTATTACAAACCAGTCTATGAAATTAAATGAAAACAAATTTTATTATGTCAGGGGTTAATGTTAGATTGAAAAATTGGAAATTAATGTTGATGACATATTCTGAATGTTTCAAGTTATTATTTCTTACTGGCCAAACACACTTTCAACTGAAGTACTCAATATCCTGTTAGATATAAATTATTTATTTGATTTTTTTACAAGCTCTTGATGAATTTTATAGTCTTGAATCTAAAACAATGATAAACAAAATTTGATGTAATTGAATCATGTGTTGGGAATTCCTTTTTTATAAAGCTACAAATCACACAGAAAAATAACCACATTCTTATTCATTGTGTTGTTAAATTTTAGTATATTTGACTGAACTGTTTTATTTCCTATGTGTTTTGTGTGAGAAATTCCAACACTTTTTCTCATCAAGCAAGAATACTCCAGTCCCTCTTGATCTGTCTTTCCGATGCGAACACCCTTCTTTATCAATAACTATTGATAACAACTCACAACCTGCTTATAGCGACAGATTCTACCCATGCAACTTGTTCCAACCAAGATCAGCTGGCACATTTGTGTTGTCTGATCATTGTCTGCAGTGTTTGCTGTTCAATCAGTTAATGCTTTGAAAATTTCCCTCAAAATAATGAATGGTTTTGTCCAGATTGAAAACTAGACAAGGGTTTAAACAACTTTAAGTACAAAGATGTACAAAGATTTTTTCCCAAAATCATTTATGACAACATAACTTTTTTTAAGTAATATAAAGTAATAAACATGAATGTCGTTAGTAAATACTTAATATCATTTTCTATATCACATTGAAATAAAAATTGGTTTAATAACATAAAAGTGAATTATTGCCAACATTACAAAGAGGTTTGTTAAATGATGCCATTGGCATTTTGTTAATGAAATTTAATAAACAATTACATGTATAATAAAATCTCGATCAGAATATTGTTGTTGTTTGTTTTATACACCATTGTTTATATTTTAGTGTAATATATATACATGTATGTATAGACATTAGAAAACTGATATTCTGTGTAAGTATGATAAATCCTTTTAAAAGTTGTATGCCTCCAGACGAGCCAAAAAATATCAAGAAAAATAAACTTTGAGAACAATTTACCGGTACTATGATTGTAAGAGAAGTAAAAATATACACTTCAGTTCATTAATGATTTACATGTTATATGCAATGAATGACTGATTTTGCAGTATTTATCACCATATTTCTACTGCGTGACTAACTCGGTAAGAACTGTTTTTGCATATTTTCACCTTTATTTGGTAACTTCGGTACATTTTAAGTGCTGTTTGTAAATTACTTTCTTTGTTCACATTTTACCTTTCAAAGTTTCCATGAAAAATAGCATAAAACTGGAGGCATGCTCCTTTAAGTAAGAGATATATAACTTCAAGTGGTAGTAATGGTACATCAGTTGATTCTCTTTCACAGGAACAATGGTATACTGTGACATGAATGTTTTCTCCAGCTTTATAGTTTTATCACCACATGATTTTTTGATTAGCTGCCTTACAGTTGACTGTGACATGAATGTTTACTCCACCTTCAAAATTTTACCATGATTGAATGTTTACTTGTTTTATCATGGCCCAGTGTTGCAGTTTTATAGACATTAATGTTTACTCCATCCCAAAAGATTTTACATTACATGATTAGTTCATTATACCATGACATGAATGTTTAGTTCAGTTTTACCATGATGAGAATGTTTAGTTCAATTTTACCATGATGTGAATGTTTAGTTCAGTTTCACCATTACGTGAATGTTTAGTTCAGTTTCACCATGACGTGAATGTTTAGTTCAGTTTCACCATAATGTGAATGTTTATTTCAGTTTTACCAGGACATGAATGTTAAGTTCAGTTTAACCATGACATGAATGTTTAGTTCAGTTTTACCAGGACATGAATGATAAGTTCAGTTTCACCATGATGTAAATGTTTATTTCAGTTTTATCATGACATGAATGTTTAGTTCAGTTTCAGCATGACGTGAATGTTTAGTTCAGTTTCTACCATGACGTGAATGTTTAGTTCAGTTTCACCATGACTTGAATGTTTAGTTCAGTAATACCATGATGTGAATGTTTAGTTCAGTTTTTATCATGACATGTTTAGTTCAGTTTCTCCATGACATGAATGTTTAATTCAATTTCACCATGAAGTGAATGTTTAGTTCAGTTTTACAATGACATGCATGTTTAGTTCAATTTTACTATGATGAGAATGTTTATTTCTGTTTCACAATGATGTGAATGTTTAGTTCAGTTTTACCATGACATGAATGTTTAGTTCAGTTTACCATGATGTGAATGTTTAGTTCAGTTTTACCATGACATGAATGTTTAGTTCAGTTTCACCATGACATGAATGTTTAGTTCAGTTTCACCATTATGTGAATTTTTAGTTCAGTTTTACTATGACATGAATGTTTAGTTCAGTTGCACCATTATGTGAATGTTTAGTTCAGTTTTACCATGACATGAATGTTAAGTTCAGTTTTATCATGACATGAATGTTAAGTTCAGTTTTACCATTACATGAATGTTTGCTCTGAGAGTGAGACCAGTCTAAAGGAATTAGTTTTATAGTTTAGGCTGTTTACTCTTTACTATCTATATATATCTATTTCTGAGTACTGCCAAACCCCACTGGCAAGTTTGATGTGTTAGTAAATGGTGTGAGAGAAAGTAAAAACCTGAATATGAACATTATCAGGACAGTGAGAGACATTGAAAACTTCCAAGTCATTGTTAAAATGTATTTATTAGTATACATGTAGCAAGGGTGAAAGAAATATTAAAAGTAAAAACACAACAAGTCAACTAATACTGTATTTCAACCACCACCTGTATGAATTGGTCAAGATCAGGCAGGGTGACTATGTCCTTTGGAAGCTGTTGTGTTGGAAAACAAGAACTGATGGTAGTCTAATGTAACTTGTATTTTTCTAAGAGAGAGGGGGTGCATATGTCTAGTAAGCCAACATGGAGTTTTAAGTTTAGGTTGGAAGGTTAGTGGCTACTACAAGGTAAACTTTGAAAAACATAATAAGTTTAAAGTCTAATAGATACCGTGTAGAATATATTTCGTTTTTTGTTGTTTAAATTTTTTTTAATCTATGTAGATGACAACGATTCATACGCATATTAGTCATCGTGCTTTGGCAACAATAACAACAACAACAACACGGTCTAAAGGTGGAGGTTCGACAAAATGAAAAGGCAGTGTTGTTGCTTAACGGCTTTATTTGTGGTCGGATTTATACTCTTAATTGCTGGAGTAGCTTTTATACCTGCCTCTAAATCGATTATCCATAACGAAATAAATGAGGTAAATATATTGTCCATTTAGCGAGTTGAATAGTAGCCGGATATATAAATTCGTCTGCATCGAGTAATTCATTAATGGTATTTACACGCTTATGAAGTTGAAGTTTGATATTCGCAATTGACGAATTACTGAGCTCTGTCATTGCTTATTATTTAATGTAAACGACAGTTGCTGTCAAGCATGATATTAATGATTTTGGCCTGAATTTTGGTTTGTCCAAAATATTTCCACAGGTGGCCATGACCATTTTGAAAGTAGCTAGATTTTCTTATTATCAAAGCGTTATATATTTAATTTACTTTGATTTTAAAAAAAAATATGCCTTGTCACTTGTTTTTTTCTTTCAAATTCCTTGTTGGTTGGCCCTGTCTGACATTGTCTTTTCTAGGACACATGATTGCAGGGTTCACACTATTTTTATCAAGGAAGTGGCTAGCCGTACGGGCCCGTACGGCTAGCCAAAAGTTCTAGCCGTACGTGAGTCACGTACGACTAGCCAGGACACACTGTATTGGCTAGCCGTACGGCACTTTTCAAAAATATATGGAAGGCGAAAGTGCATAATTATGTTAATTATGACTTTAAGCGAGGATTTGAGTCAAGAATGTTTACTTTTTAGAGATTAATCGACGTGTTGGCTACAGTAAAGAATGTACGTACTTTGTCATCTCAAGACGTCGAGAAAAAATAGCGTTTGGTTGCAGTTAAATAACATCAATTGAAATAGTTTACAAAATTTTGATAATAATCCTTTTTTGTTTCGTTAAGTTTTATTTTTAAATTGAAAAAAAAAAAAAAAAAAAAAAAACACCGAAAATAATTGTTGTTGGGCTCTGATAATTGCGTCAATTACCGACGGTATAGAAGTTTGTCCATCGTCCATCATTTAAGGAAAGTTTGCATTATTAAATTATTTTTCCTTTTCACTGTTTTTTTTTAAATATTATTTTTATTTATTTATTTATTCCCCTCCGATCATTATTTATTCGATCCATGTGCTTAATTAACAGATTTAACAATTCATCTTTCATACAAATCATAAGCATGAAAATTAAGGCAACTTTGACACTTAAATTAATTTTATTAAGATAGATTATACAACGCTTACTCGTATTCATTTTTTTTGTGTGCAAAATTGCGGAGCATCTTTATTAAAGTTAACACACTAGGACAAATGCGAAGATTTGATTAATATCGTCGTTTAAAGACACAAAATAACATATGCATTTTCGACTTCCATATAATTTTGAAAAGTGCCGTACGGCTAGCCAATACAGTGTGTCCAGGCTAGTCGTACGTGACTCACGTACGGCTAGAACTTTTGGCTAGCCGTACGGGCCCGTACGGCTAGCCACTTCCTTTTATCAAAGATTTTTCGCATTTTGGAAACAATGTGCATGTAAATCCGACATCTGAATAATTGATGTCCTTTCAAAAAAATGTAAAATGTCCAGTCAGCCAATTTGTTTACATGGATACTGGAAACTGCAGGGAGGTAATTCTCAACAAAATAAAATTAATATTTTCATTGAAAAAGTTGTGGGGGACAACTCTTGTTGCTGTTAATAAATATTTTCAGAATATCATCCGTTGAATATGTTGATGTATAAAGTTGTTTACGGAGTGCATACAAATCATTTCATAAAAGAATTATATCTTTCTTTCATTATTTAACAAGGTGTTGATCAAGCATCATTATCAGAGGATGCACACTGAGTCAAGTCATATTATTATATCTAAGATATCTAATCCCAAATTGTAAAATACACCTGAAAAAGAGGGTCGCTGATCTGGTTCTTCAAAAAAAAATAATCTTGCTACCTTTCAAAGTTTTCAGAAAAAAGATCAGTCCTGGCTTGATATAAACAACATCAAATTTTGTTTTTGAGGGAGGAAATTCATCTCAATTTTTGAATTTTAGAATAGACACTGCCTTGTTCAATTCTCTTAGTCTCATTATTAAAGTAATAACATAACTAACAGACTGCTACCTTTCGTTTGGTACATTGTTAGGTAGAGTGTCAGAACAAAAAGATCCAGATGATGATCTGATTGTAAAATAGATTGCTAATTAGTTATATCTTGGTGTACACAGTATATGAATTATAGTTACTAAGGCTCATTCCTTATTTGTAGCATATTACTGTATAACTATAAAACAAAGGCATGGAGCTTTCCCATTGAAGTATAATGAAGTCATTGTGGTTTAGGTTATAAAAATTACCTTCTAACATCTAATTTGTGTTAACTGTATTCATTTTGAAGTTACTGGTTATCAATATCCAATAGATCAATTTCACAAACAAATACTTTGAGGTGCAAACTTATTGATGGTCTCAACCAAAATCAGCAGTCTGAAATTTTATCATCAATTTGTAGCCAAAAAATAATACTTAGAAAATAATATTTAAAATATACAAACATTTTGTATGATAGCATTTACATGTATCGTATGTGGTATAAAGAGAAATATTATAAATAATGTTTTCTTTCTTAAGAATCAGAAAAAATTAGTTCAAGTTAATGGTCACTGAGATATTTTTTTGGAAATTATGATAGGACACCAAAAACAAAAAAAACAAACTTTTTTTAGAAAGAAATTAAAAATGAAAAACCAAAAAAAAAAACCCCCTTAAACTTGTGTTATAAAAGGGTCTTTCAAAATAAATTAGTAAAATTACATAGGTACTTATAAATCAAAATCTTATAACTTAAATGGTTATATTACAAATCATTCAATAAAAAAACAATAAATCAGAAAAAAAGAAGTATTAATTTTGATGTTGATATTGGACATGACTTTGTGTATATTAGTGAAGAAATCAATATCTAATACAATGTAGTGCTGTCCTTGAAAAATACTGAATCTGCTACTATCAGTATAGTTATAGACATTGAATTATGCATTTTTTTTCAGCTTCAATTAATTTTTATTGAGACATTTGATTAGTTTAAATGTGCTGGGTTTGACAAATATACATTATACATTTAATTTGCATTTTAAGGCATTTGGAACCCTACACCAATTTAAACCGATTTCTGACATCCTGTCCTAAAGTTGTGAAAATATCTCACTATTTAATTTTTGTCAGAAGAGATCATAGTCACTTCTTTCCTTTTTTTCTTTGTTAGCTCTATCTTGAACCCTGAAATTGAAAAGTAGTAACAAATATTAAAGATGATTTCTAAAACAAGCATGCATAACACCTTGATGATAATAAAATATCACATATTCAAATGGTTTCCACTGCACTGGCTATTTAATTTTGTAAAATAAGACCTGTTTCTCTATCTGACATTTGATTGAATTGTTGCGATCAAATGTACATTGTATATCAATGCTAAAGTGAAACTGATGTTTTTCATTTTCTGAATATTTGCAAATACATTATTATGTTGAAGGAAAAAGTGCTCCCTTCCTGATTGTTTAAATTAAGCCATGAGTCATATAAAACAGTTCATACATTGTATATAATTTTATGTCCTGTTCAGTGTAACTTTCAATTGTCATTAAAGTAGAATAACATCATGATGAAACTTCCTGTACTTTGTTTTTCATTATTGACAATACTTTATAGCTTAATTTGATAAAGACTTTGACCTTAATAAGTTTTCTAGGCTAGTTAATATAGATTTATTTATGAGATTTTGTTTTATTATCATGAATTAACTTTTACAACACTTTATAATATCTTAAATGGACCTTTCCATCTTTCAATCTGAACAAAACCATTCAACATTTTTAGGGAAAGTATCAAAAGATGTACATAATGGCAAACAGTGCAGACCATGATCAGAAGGCATGGATGTGCTGGCTGACCTTGGTCTGCACTGGTGGTACGGGTAGAATCATTTGTTGCCCCCAGGCTTAGAGATAATTAATGAGTTTATTTTGGTCTATAATTGGTCTATAATAATGGTGTATTGATATTATGTATGATTATCGTATCATATTTCACATAAAATTAAATTTTTATAAAAGTGTTTGTAATTGAATTGACATGTGAGTTGTTCCCTAGGCTTCTGTAATTAATCTTTCATGAATATACATTCAATTAGATATTGTCACAATACAAAGTGTGTATTTTTTTCTACATTTTTCACTATTCAAGAAATCAGCCAAATTTCCCTTGTTTTAAATTTAATACCACATTATGTACACTGTATTGTAACAACATTGTCCTTTTTAATCCCTTAACCTGCTGAACATGTATAATGGATTAACCAAGCATTAAATATGGAACAGTCCATTCTAATTTCATTAATTTATGCAGCCAACAATTAGAGCATGGACAATTTGCATGGATATGCAGACTGGCCTGGTTCTATACTGAAGACAAAGGCAAATTAATTTTGGTTCCAGCAGGTAAAGGGTTAACTTGTACAGGTATGACTACAGTGTTGGGGTCATAAGGTACATTTAGTACTAATGTACTGAAAAAAAGTAAAAAGAAATATAGATAAGCGGTATCAGTGATGAGATAAATGTTGAACCTATGCATGCAAAGTTGGAGTGAAATAATCATGCATGGTCTTACATACATGTGAACTCTCCCGCTTTAAGTGGGAGACTCCCTCTTTCTGCAGGCATATTTTCAAAGATTTTTCTTAAAATAAGGGGTATTTTCACAAATTAAAGAAATCTCCCTCTTTTTGATGTCAGAACTTCCTTCTGTGTTCATTGCAAATTCTAAAATCTCCCTCTTTTTGAAGATAAATCTCCCTCTTGATCATGGAAAAAAGTTCACATGTATGGGTCTTATTATATGACATTGATTAAGATACCCACAAAAAACATATGAATAAGTTATCATCCCTTTGAAAAAGTGATCATATCATTTGAGTGAAAAAACTTCTTTTAATCATGAGCATGTCACTTGAAATGCATGTAACCCAAATGAACAGAAAGTTCAAGGTGCTCGTGTTTTCGTGCATCAAGTGTGGCTTGCAACTCTTACATTGTATTACTAGCCAGGTGTACATTATATTTTGCTGTGTAGCATAAATTGTACAATCTCAGTATATGCTCTTACAATTCTAATTGGTTTTTTGGTTTGCTTTTTAACCCTTAGCTCCGCCTATACATTGTATGACTGAAATACTGTTGGGAAAAGGCTTGAAATGAAACAAACAAACAAAAATTACCCTTAGCCTGCCACTGGCAACTGAATATACCAGTGGGACCATGCAGATCAAGATCTGATATCTGTTCATGGTATTCACTGTTCAATATTCATTCAGTGTATATTTAGAAAACTTCTCTAAAATCATGAATGGTTTTGTTAGACAAGTCCATTTAAGATACATGTATTTAGTCCGGTAAGGGTTAAGGACAACACAAGCTAAAAATAGAAATCAAAATGATTAACATGTTCTTGTCATGAATAGATGAATATGTGTATTTGAGTATATTTATACTCACCTCTGGTTGCCCATAAGGGCGATGTCCTCCAGAAAAGTATTAGTCATTTATATTTTGGAGGATTATAAGTGCAAGAAGATGACCCAATTCCAGAAGCTTCTCCTGGTTTTTTAACGTGCCAAGTGTTTAAGTACTCAGTCACGGGACCTCTATTTAAAGTCTCATCCCAAAGACTGATTAGTAATTTAAGTTGGCCTGAGGTTGGGAATCAAACCTACAATGTCAAGTTTTCAAGTCTTACGTTTTAACCAATTGAGCTATGCAGACTGGCACTCATGAATGATATGATAAAAGTTTTGTCTATAAATCCAGACAATCATGACAAACTATTTTCAGTTGTTAACCTTAGTACAAAAAATTATTTAATGTAACTCTGATATACACATGCAATAATTTTACATTCCTGTTATTTTGCATTCTGAAAATAGAAATATGATACGCCTAATGCGCAATACATTTATTTTGTACTTTTGTAAAGAGAATAACAAAGTTTAATAATTTCCATTTATTACAGTTAGGTCAAGTGGTAAATATGTCAGTTTTCTCTGAAAATGTAAAGTGAGACAAAATTAATTTATTTTAAGCATTTTCTGTTTCTTTTAAATTCTACTTGTCATGAGATTTTTTTAGTCTAGTCATGCAATACTCATGTATCTAAAGGTTAAAAATCAACTTGCTGTGATGTCATATTGGTTTTTTTACTGATTTTAGCTCGACTATTGAAAGAATAGGGAGACCTAATGTGCTCACCCAGACACTGGTGTCACACTTTGGTTAAATTTTTGCTTGAAAAGTGGTATTAGGAAATAGGTTTAAACCTCACACACTTATTTCAGAGGCTCATGAATATGATAGGAGGCCCCATCACCGTCCATGGCTCATAACTTTTACATTGATCTTAACAGAATTATGGTCCTTTTAAAACTTAGAAAATTGTAGATTATCCAGGCTCTGTTTTAATTTCAAGCAAATTATTCAGGTTGTTTTTATTTGTTTTTTTTTTTAAGCACTAAGGTCGAGCATGCTGTTGTACTGACACAGCTCTTGTTGGGAAAAAAAAACCCATGCTTAAGTCTTTAGTAAATTATAGTATTGTAACCATAAAAAATTTGGCAAATTTAACAAATCCATCAAAATATTTACCATATATTTTTCCAAATGATAATTATGTACACACCTGTTTCATGCCTTAAACATGAGCTGGTTGTAAGAAACCTTCACAAATTTTGGTAATTTAAGAGATTAAACTGTCTTGCTAAAATGAGAAAAGGCCCTTGTAGACTAAATTGTTATATGCAAACAAATCTCTGAGCCATGAGTTTTTAATGCCACACTTGTGTGCGCTTCATGTAGTCATCATCATAAATCAAATAGTGTCTGCAGGTTGTCTAAAACTATAGCATCAACATAATTGCATAACACATTGTCAGATGACTAATGATGGTCAGAAGAAAACAGGTCAGAAGAAAATATAAGTTTTAAGAATTTATTTCATAATGTAATTCAAATATGTTTAAATTAGATTTAAATATTTCTTAAGCATACGTTATTGACAAAGATTGTAAGATATATCTTATATCAAATTTCAAAATAAATACTTGTTTATCAATATGTACACATAAAATACAGTACAATATCATGTAAACTACTACATACTGTAGGGTTATATTTGAGGGTTATATTTAATATCATATCTTCTAATGACAACAACCTCTTTATCTGTTTTTGGTAAAGGTGATAAAAATCAAGCTCATCGTGATATAGGAAACACTTGACCTTGATAAACTAGAAAAAAGTGTAATTGCACCGACAATCATTTACCTATTTTTTTGATGTCCTCTCGTATTACTGAGCACATTGTAACCATCATAAGCCAATTAAACCCTGTAAAATTTATATTCTGTTTAAGAAATAATACCCTCCTTAGAATAAACCTATTTGTAAAATGTGAAATAATCTTTTACAGAGCTCTGCTCCTTGCCTTTCCTACAATTTAATTCATTAAATATTATACAGTCATTAAATGTATATTTTCTGTTTACGGTTAAAATACTTTAACATTCATCCTGCTTGTGGCAGATTAGTTTCCTCATTTTGATTATTCCCCTTTTAAAGTAACTGTTGATATCTTGGCAAACTTGATAAAATTGATGCTTGTATATATAGATGCTTATTCAATGTCTGATGAATTATAGTCTATACATATATATAGCTTTAAATACTGGTATTCTTAAAATTTACTCTTACCCTGTTGCAAATATAAGCTTAAAATAAATATATACTGTAACAATCTATAAGCAGTAGATGGCAATAAGATAAATATATAAACATAATTCAACTACAGTCAAACGTGTATTAAGGGACCGGGCAAGGGAACCACCCAAAACGGTCGCTTAATGAAACGGTCTCTTAAGACAGTCAGCATGATATAAAAGTCAAAATTAAAAAAATGACATCTTTTTTATTCGGTGGGATTGTTTTTCAACTTCATTTTTATATCTCTGTTGAAAATAGTACGCTCCGATAATCTAAATGGATGCAAATGTAAAAATAACTTTCTGATATTTATTGACAAAACAGTTTCAAGATCCATTACGTACATGTTTGACATTTTTTCCAGAATGTTTTAACTTCTCCGTTGTTTTTCCTTGTCTTCAACACGAAAACCCTATTAGTGAAGATGTTTTCTGTTGTGCATTTTTTTTCATTTGAAATACACAAACTACATCTATTTGTTACGATTAATTTAATGGCTAATCAAGTTCAAGGTCAATTTAATGCAGTCTAAATGTCAACAAGCGAAGCGTATACACAATCTCAGTATGGGCGGAGCCTTGCATTGTTTATCCGATATTATTGGATAATACACGTCACGCGTATACTTAACTTCATTTGCATACGCTAAAACGGTATGGGAAAAAGAGTTTTTCACACGTTTATTGTTGTGTTTTGATTGTTGACACTTGTGACATAACGAGGTGGCGTTCTCTATAAACACAATTACTTGACAGGTAAAAGTGGTCGTTTAATGAAAAGATTGATGTCAATTAGGTGACTAATTAGCGGTCGCTGGTCGCGTTGAGCAAAAGTCGCTTAATACATTAAAGATATAGAGAGAAAATGATCGGGGGGAATTTAAAGTGGTCGTTTAAGACAAAAGTCGCTTAATACATGTGGTCGCATGGGCAAGTTAGACTGTATATCATATCATATTAGTACCCGCCTGCAAACACTTCGTATCAATATTAAACAAAGAATGATCAAAAGGATATATTTAGCCTGTAACTTTAAGCAAAATTCCATATCATTCAATGAAACTCAAAATAAAATAATGCCAAACGAATAATTAGCATTTTAAGTTTAGAGTTGAAATGTTGAGAAATACAGACTCCTTTGCAAGTGTGAACATCTGACATTGTAAATGCAATATGATCTTCAACCCTAAACCTGCTGGAACCAAAAGTGTTGAGACTTTGCCACCATTTTGATATTGAATTTCCTTCAACTTTAAAAGGACAGTTTCAAGTTCCAAGCTGGACAAATTCATTACAAAAATTCAAAAGATAAAGTGTTATGGTGTGTACAGCTATAATATTACATGATATAATGTGTTTATTTCTCAATTTTCAGCAAATCAACCTAAAAAACAAAGCTACTAAAGATAACTGGGTGAAAAACCCAACTCCTATAAAGTTTCAAATATGGGCGTGGAACCTCACTAACCCAGATGAAGTTAAAGCCGGCACTGGTAAACCAACTCTAGTCCAAAGAGGACCATATACATACATGTAAGCTCAATGTTATAATAAAAATAGTGTATTGTAATGAGATGACTCTTTGAAATTTTTAGCTCCTATCCAAGTGTTAGTTTCAGGTATATAAATTTTTTCCTGTTTTTGTGTCAAAAACATGGCAAAACTGAACATGTTGCAGGCTTGGTTTGATTAAGTCTGTTCATGGGCTCTAGCAGTAATTGCAAGCTACTGTCCTCAGCTCCTCACCCCCTAGGATCGGCTTTAGCAGAATTCAACATTTGACATGAACTGGAAAATTTTTTATATTATGAAACATCCTCAGATGTATTAAAATTATCAATATGAAACATCCTCAGACGTATTAAAACTATCAACCAATTGTCATGAAGTGTATGAAGAAAGATTTTATCAAAATTGCCATAATTTATGATCCTATCTTCAAGGCCCATCTGGAAACGGCTTCAACATAACAGACAAAAAGATGTACATGTACTATTATTTAACTAATTTGAATGAATATGAAATGAATTGAGCCGCGTCATGACAAAACCATCCGCGCAGTCAGATCAGGATCCATGCTGTTTGCTTACAAACCTTATAACAAGTAGAGAAACTGATAGCGAACAGCATGGATTCTGATCAGACTGTGCGAAGGCGCAGGCTTGTCAGGATTCATGCTGGTCACAAACCCATTATGTTGGTTTTGTCATGACACAGCTCAATTATTATTTTTCATAGTGAGAATCGACAGAAAGTGGCCATCAAATATAATGATGATAACAAGACTGTTACGTACAGGGAGAACAAGTTCTATTCATTTGACAGAGCTAATTCTAATGGAACAGAGGCAGACGAGATTGTGACAGTCAACATTCCACTCATGGTAATATAAATTTTGAGCATTCATATTTTTGTTATAATTAAAGTGCATAGTCAGAAAACTTTATAGTTTACATAATTTTGTATTATGTTTCATTACCTTTCTTTTAGAGAATAAATATGTTCATATATGAACCTTTCTAATATCTTTATGAACTGGGGAATATATGTTTTAAAGTATTTTGGGGTACTATTTCAAGAGAGTGAGACTAAAAAAATGATTGAACTGCAAACTAAATACTGTATTATATACCGGACAAGGTGCTTGAATGATTAAATGCTTAAATCTTGCCTTTTGACTGGACGGAATGAACTTTAAAAGGTTTAACTCATCTCTTCACACTGGTTTATATAATTTATTATGATAATCAATGAAAAATGTAAGAATCGGCAAAAAGAAAGATATTTGTCTATTTTGTGATCGTGATTTCTGTAAGCGTCTTGAGGTACTGCTCCAATACTGTATTGAGTTAAATCCTTCAAGAAAAATAATCATTATAAGGGTCATGACCTTAGCAAATCATATGACTAGGAACGTTTATGGTGGGTGCCCTTCATGGCTGTGGTTAATTGATAAGTTTCTTGATGCCATGATCTTAAATGTTATTTTTTCAGGGACTTTTGTATTAAATTAATAAATCTAACAAATTTTCCTTCTTTTAATTTCCCCGTATAGTTGATAGCCAATGTGTTGAAGAAGGAATTTGGTGTACTACAGACACTTGCAGCAGCATTACTCGACTGGGCCAATGAAGACCTGTTTGTTACACTCTCTATTAAAGACCTTGTTTGGGGCTATGATGAGCCCCTCATCAACAAAACAATCAGCCTTATTAACTCATTAGGTTTTCATTTAAATATCAGTGATAAATTTGGCATTTTTGTTGGGGTAAGTCACCATAAATTATTTTAGATCATGAATTTTTTTGTCATTTAAGATGTTGATGTTATAAATAAAGAAGATTTCATCAACTTTGCTACCATTGAATCAATAAAAATGTTAGGGTACTGCTTTCATGTGTGTTAGTAGAAAGTTTAACTGAGATTGTTTGATATTATATTTTTGTGCTTTTCCTTTTTTTAGTTTGATTTAAAAAGAAATCTTGATGATATCACTATTGGTTATTTATTTTCATTATACTGCAAAGTCAGCATTATTTTGTTACATAAATTAAGAAACATTGAAATTTAATAGAAAAAAATGAAGATTTTTTTTTTTGAAAAGTAAAGTTTCTTTCCTATTGTTAACAATACAAAGGACAAAGCCTATACTCACAAAGGATGTGGAAAACACTGAGTAATTATGACATACATTATATTTTTCCAGACAAATGGTACAGATGATGGTGTGTATAATATTATGACAGGAGAAGGGGATTCAAGTCAGTTTGGCATCATCAAAACCTGGAACTTTGCTCCGTATGTCTCTGTCATACATTAAAGATTTTACAACTTTTAAATTTTTTTTTTAATTCAATTGATATTTTAAGTACGGTAAGTTTGACACTCCTAAAATATGCTTGTTCTTCTTTGCTATGCCGAGCTATAAGGTGATTTAGATTGAATGTAAATATTATTATAACATACAAGTTTTTGGGTTTTTTTTAAATTGAGAAATTTTATTTAAAGGGACTCCACTTAGGTTTTTTAACATGACTGGACTGGAAATAATTTATTTTGAGATTTATGCTCCCTGTGATGTAGGACTAAACCAATAACCTGTGTGCAAAATTTCAGATCATTCGGTCACACTGTTTTTCCAGAATAATATTCTAATTGTGAAAAATGACCTGCCTTGGTTTTCACTGTAATCTGACTAAGAATAACTCAAAAATACTATTTTCAACATATTTCCGGGTATTTTTCTTAATAATCTTTTGCAAATTGTTATGTTTTAAGTGCCCCAATGGATCAATGTAAGAAATTCAAACTTAATGTTTTTAGACTTTGGGACCTCAGTGGAGTTCCTTTAATATTAATTTATTTATTCATTACTCATCTATTAAGTCATCTACTTACTTTTATTAGTTATTGCATTAAGTACCTATTATATGATGTTATTTTGTATATATACTTTATCTTGTATCATTTTTTATGAATCATCACTTGCATTAACTGTTTCCATTTGTTGCACTTGAAAGATAATAACTAAATTTAGAATAATTTGTCAGTTTAAATGTGCGGAAAGTACATGATAAGGAAATTTTAAACTCATCTGATAAATTGTTTTATGTATTTCTTTGGTATGACTCACACCTTGTTTAAACAGTTTTCATAAGTTGTATTAAAGGGTGATAACTTAATTTATAAAAATTTGTCAGTTAAATAACTGAAAAAATACATAATGAAATAAAATAAAATAAAAATACATAATAAGAAAATTCTAAACTTGTTTGATATATGATTTTATGTATTCCTTTGGTATATGTTGATGACAAAACTCTAGCAGTTTAAATGTCAACATGATTTGAGCCGCGTCACGACAAAACCAACATGGTGCGTTTGCGACCAGCATGGATCCAGACCAGCCTGCGCATCCGCACAGTCTGATCAGGATCCATGCTGTTCGCTATCAGTTTCTCTACTTATAATAGGGTTGGTAAGCGAACAGCATGGATCCTGATCAGACTGCGCGGATGCGCAGGCTGGTCTGGATCCATGCTGGTCGCAAATGCACTTAGTTGGTTTTGTCATGACGTGGCTCATTTTATCTTTACCAATAGGTGATTAGTTATACCTGAATTGCACAGAAAGATTGGCACATCCTCAACTTTTATCCACCAGTATAACTGGAAAGTCATTATACATGTAATTTATATGACATTGAATTGTATTGTTGTAACTTTGAACCCAAGTTTACACCATTTATCTACTAGTAATTACAATAGCTGCTTTTGACTGTGAAAGAATTTAGAAACCAGAATAAGCTATTTTGGCTTGTGGTCGGCAATATCTACGAGCATGATCAAGTTTTTACATGCTGGAAAATACTTAACTTTAAAAGTGGAAAGTAAAAGTAAGAATAATGGCATACACTTATTTTGTACTTCTATGTCCTGAATCAAGAATAAATTAATTGATCCATTTGAAATTAAGTCATATCATTTTCAGAAACTAAGGAAATAATTGAGCCTCGCCATGACAAAACCAACATAGTGGGTTTGCGACCAGCATGGATCCAGACATGCCTCAGTCTGATCAAGATCCATGCTGTTCGCTATCAGTTTCTCTACTTGTTATAGGGTTTGTAAGCGAACAGCATGGATCCTGATCAGACTGCATGGATGTGCAGGCTTGTCTGGATCCATGTTGGTCGCAAACCCACTATGTTGGTTTTGTTGTGACGCGGCTCAATTATATTGCTTCTATTTCAGTGTGCTAAAAGTATCATCATTATTTATTGGCCTTACCCAATTTCTACTAGTTACAGGCTTGCCTGCTAGAACTACATTCAATTTTGGTGACTGTTGTATTATTTTTCAAGTCCTGTAGAGGGTTACAGTGATACTGGTATATTTTGTTGTGACTCAGATTCACCTTTGACCATTTTGTTTTATTGTGATTCTGTTTGAATCTTTGCACAGTACACATACAAGGATATGATACATTACACTTATTAATTCTAACCAAAAAAAACACACTTCTTTCTTTAAAAGAAAAAAAACATATTTTCAGTGCTAGTGTTATTTTGATTTAAATATACATTAATATACACTTCATATATATTACAGGAACCTTACATTCTGGACATCTCACACTTGTAACATGTTGAATGGCACAGGTAAGTATACTTTTTAAAATTAATTAAATAGTTTAGGTAATACCAATAATATATTATAATGAGAGCTATCTTAGCATAAAGTTCAATGTTTATCTGTATGCTCAGGGATCATAGGTATATTGTTTACCTGTGTGCCCAGGGATCTTAGGTTCAAGTCTTACTTGGATCACTATCAGGACCAGTACTGGTTATTCCAAAAATCATGCAGACTTAGGGCATGATTAATATAAGTTCCACATTCCATTGTAGTATAGATTAAATGTTTTACTACCTATTATAGTAAATAGGTGCATCATTATGATTTTGTGCATGAAACTGTAGTTATTAACTTTTTAATTAGAGCAACACAGTCACTTTTAATGTCTTTCAAAGATTAATATATTAAAATAGTTATTATTGCATCATGAACGGTAATGTTGTGATATTATTCCCTTTAAATGTGTCTGACAATTACTGTAGAATAATGAATTATTTCAGATGGTACAATTTTCCACCCATTTATGGAAAAGTCGGATGTATTATATGTGTTCTCATCTGATTTATGCAGGTAAACTGTTATGTTACATTATGTCTTCAAACTTACATAGTTTTTTTTTCAGGAATTATTTTGTTCATTGTGGAAAGAGGGCAGTGATTTCAAAACTAAACAAAAATGGTCACATATTGTGAAAAAAAGAAACAGCAATTTATTAATTTCAGAGAAAATAGAAAAATGCAAATACATGTATATGTATTGCATTTAAAATTTGTATTTGTTGTGAAACTATCAAGCATAGTTAATGTAAAGGATGTGCAATAGTTATATTTTATATAAATATTTACTGAATAAGTGATAATGTTTTTAATTCATGTTCATCTCAGTGAAGAATCTTTTTAGCTCGACTATTCGATAAGAATAAGTAGAGCTATTGTAGTCACCCGAGCGTTGGCGTTGGTGTCGGCGTTGGCGTAACCACTTATGTTAAAGTTTTTGTAATAGTTTAAATATTTTCAAAGTCCATTGGCATATGGCTTTGAAACTTTGCACACTTGTTCACCATCATTACCCCAACCTGTAGACAGGAGGAGGTAACTCTATCAAGCATTTTGACAGAATTATGCCCCTTTTCCAACTTAGAATTTACGTTAAAGTTTTTGTAATACCTCAATTATTTAAAAATTCATTGACATAAGGCTTTGAAACATGTTGAAATTTTATACTCTTCTTTGAGAGCATAATAGGACTCTCTCCAAGGCCTATAACTGTAATATGGAGTTAAAGAAAAATTTTGCATTTTTCTTTACTTAGAAAATTGTACCTTTTAATCAAGGCTTTTTTTACTATCAAGCACTAAGAATAGTCCAGCGTTGCTGTCCTACCGACAGCTCTTGTTTTAATTGTTGTCATGGAGATAAATACATATCTAAGTTGTACCCAAAATTAGAAGTTCTTATTCATTTTTTCTCGGCTGATATTTTCAGTTGATTTATTTCTACATTTGCTTTAAGAGGTGATAACTATTGCCCTAAAGAAGTAAAATCAGACATAAATGATGTATGTTTCAGGTCTATATATTTCACATACCTGCGTGACAACAAACAGAAGGGTATAGATGTATACAGATTTACTACCCCACCTGATGTATTTCAATCTCCTACTGACAATCCAGCTAACCAAGGATACTGCACTCCCAGTGATAACTGCTTTCCATCAGGACTACTGAATGTGGAAAACTGTCATTTTGGTAGATAAAACTGACTCTTGTATAAGATTAATTGAGCCGTGTCATGACAAAACCAACATAGTGTGTTTAGCTTGACTAGATTCAATGAATAGGGAAAGCTATTGTACTCACCCTGGCGTCTGCATCACATTTTAGTTAAGATTTTGCATGCAAGTTGGTATCTCTGAAACTTCTCTCATTTGCTCTCTTTGATTATCTTACATGATAGACACAGGACACATAACTTTGAGTTAACTTTATACAGAGTTATGCCCCTTTTCTTACTGTTGAGCACTGATTATAGTTAAGGGAGCTGTGCATAAGTGCTGTCTAATGGACAGCTCTTTTCTGGCTCTTTTCAAATAAAAGTGGGGCCATCCTTCATTGTCTGGCTTCTGTATATGAGTATCACTTATTGTTGTGATTTTGAAATTATTTCAGGTGCTCCACTCATATTCTCACAGCCCCATTTCCTGAACGCTGATCCTGCTATTATACATGGTGTGAATGGAATGCACCCGAATCTGGAGGAACATGGTACATTTATTGATGTTGAACCAGTAAGAAATCATTCTTATTTTCTTGTAGTAATATCTTTATCATTTCTTCACTAAATCAGTGTAATGGACTTGTCTTCATTTGAATTTAGAATGGTTCATTGTGAAAATTTGGTATTTCAGATTCATTATCTTGATCTAGTAATTTGTAACAGCTTTTTTGAAAGGGGCATTTAAGTTTGTTTTTTTTTGTTGTTGTTGTTTTTTCTTCTCAAATATTCTTTATTAATTCTTTGGTTTTTGTTAAATGTAGAAAGTAGCAGGAAATAATATATGTATACTGGTCGGCAGTCGAAGAACATTTGTCACAGTGATTTCTGTCCCAATATAGGTCTGAAATATTTTGAAAACTTCCTTGGAAACAACTTTTCCTTCTACTGAAATGTGTCATCCAAGTGTTGTACATGATGTTGATTGATTTATGGAGTACTGAATAATATCCTGTTTTCTTGTATTATCAAGGGGCTAAGGCCTAAACTGGCATAGATGAACTTTACATAACATTTCTAGGTAGTGATATTTTACACTGTAGACACGTTTTCAAATTCAGAAGTGCCAGTTTCGTCTGTTTAAAGCATGTCCCGATAATTCGAGAAACCTTGATAATATGAGAAATAGGAAAAATTTAAACCTATAGATACATGTGTACAAAACATTCATAGACATGCAAGGAACCATTAGACCAGGGCTGGCAAAATCAATTGTCCGTATTGCCCAGGTTGTCCCACAGCCTGTACAGACAAGTGAAAATTTTCAAGAATTAACTATGTAAATATCATACAGACAAGTTGAAAACTGCTTCACTTAAATGGACAAGTAAGTCAAAATCAGATTTTGCCTGCCCTGCCATTAGAATATTTGTAACCCTAAACCAAGACTAGAAAAATATTTACAAAATATGTTTTTTCCTGTTTCAGTACACAGGGGCTGCTTTTTATGCTGCTAAGAAATTACAAATTAACATACTGTTGGAGAAAGTTGATCATATAGAGTAAGTTATCTACACTTTAAAATTCTTGTATATTTGTGCCATTTAATTTTCTATGATAATTAATTAATTAATTGATTAACTAGGTTTTCGATTTTGAAAATCCTGGTTATTGGAATGGCAAATGGTCGATGTTGGGGTGGGCGTCAGACAGGTGGTTTCTTGACGATAATTAGAGTTTGGAAAAAGAAATCGTTATCAAATTTGGTACATAGTAAGCTTATGCAAAGTGCTTGCTTTTGATTGCTTTTGAGTCAACAAGGGTCGTCAATGTTAGTAGAAATGGGTTCCTGTTTGAAACCTGCTTTCATGGCATTGCTATGTTTATTTGTTGTTTATTTGAACACTAAAGAATTTTGTTCATGATTGCATGTTTGTACTCTGATTAAAGTGACATTGATATCTTTGTTTATCTCATGTGTAAAAGAAAATTTTTTACCATTTATTATACCCCCACCACAAAATGTGGGGGGGGCTATAATGGATTCGCTTTGTCGCGTCGGTCTGTCCGTCCGTCAGTTGGTCCGTCCGTCCGTCTCCATTTTCGTGTCTGCTCTATAGATCCTATACCAATTGAAGAATTTTCTCAAACTTGGCTCAAATGTTCACCTCAACAAGGGGATGTGCAAAACCCATGTTGCCCATGTGTCAGCTCAAGGTCAAGGTCACAATTGAAGGTCAAATATCAAACAATCAAATATTAGACAGTATGTCGTGTCCGCTCTGTAAGTCCTATACTAATGGAAGGATTTTCTTCAAACTTGGCTCAAATGTTCACCTCAACAAGGGGATGTGCAGAACCCATGTTGCCCAGATGTGAGCTCAAGGTCAAGGTCACAATTGAAGGTCAAATATCAAACAATCAAATATTACACAATATGTCGTGTCCGCTCTATAATTCCTATACTAATGGAAGAATTTTCTTCAAACTTTACTCAAATGTTAACCTTAACACGGTTATGTGCAGAATCCATGTCACCTTTGTGCTGGCTAAAGGTCAAGGTCACACTTGAAGGTCAAAAATTGACTTAGAAAATGTTCGTACATGTACTAAAATATTTCTGAAACTAGCACAGGTATTTGCTTGAAACTTAAAATATATATGAAGTGTTACAAATTAGATATGCAGGTAAAGTTTCATAACTCTGTATTGCATTTTGACAAAGTTATGCCCCTTTTTAAGTCTTTGAATTTACATACAAGCAATACTAGACAATATGTCGTGTCCGCTCTATAAATTCTATACCAATGGAAGGATTTTCTTCAAACTTTACTCAGATTTTCACACCAACTGGGCAATGTGCAGAACCCATCTTACACTTGTGCCAGCTTAAGGCCAAGGCCACACTTGAAGGTCAAAAATTGACTTATAAATTGATTAGTACATTGGGAAAATGAAAGGTTATTTGTAACTGTTTCGAACATGATTTGATAATATATATTTATACTATTACCTGTACAGTTAGTCTTTTTTTCACCAGAGATATTTTTTCTTTATGTATTTGTGCCACTAAAGTTATTCCCTTAACCACCTTTCCAAGTTGTCTTCTGTCAAGGACATTGGTGGGGGAATGAATTGCATTCAGCGATAGTTTTAGTTTATTTTTTTCTTTAATGTCTTTCAGGCAGACAAATCTTTTGAAAAGAACAGTACTTCCAGTACTCTGGCTGAATGAGGTATGTTATTTAGTTCTTAGTTTTTAGATATATTGTCAATATTGTATCATATTTTCATATGATGTTTATATGAAAGGAAGTTTTTAGTTCGACTATTCGAAGAATATGAGAGCTATTGTAGTCGCCCCGTCGTCGGCGTCAGCGTCCGCGTCAGCGTCTGCGTTGGTTAAAGTTTTTTGTAAATTCAAATATCTCAATTATTGCTTGAGATATTCAATTGAAACTTACAATACTTATTTATAGTAACAATGTACATCAGATTGACAAGTTGGATAACTCTACCTACAATATTGACAGAATTATGCCCCTTTTTAACTTAGAAATTTTGGTTAAAGTTTTTTGTAAAGTCAAATATCTCAATTATTGCTTGAGATATTCAATTGAAACTTGCAATACTTATTTTTAGTAACAATGTACATCAGATTGACAAGTTGGATAAACTCTACCTACAATATTTTTCAGAATTATGCCCTTTTTAACTTAGAAATTTTGGTTTATGTTTTTTGTAAATTCAAATACCTCAATTATTGCTTGAGATATTCAATTGAAACTTACAATACTTATTTATAGTAACAATGAACATCAGATTGACAAGTTTGATAACTCTACCTACACTATTGACAGAATTATGCCCCTTTTAACTTAGAAATTTTGGTTAAAGTTTTTTGTAAAGTCAAATATCTCAATTATTGCTTGAGATTTTCAATTCAACCTTACAATACTTATTTGTAGTAACAATGTTTATCAGTTTGCAAAATCGCATAACTCTGCCTGCAATATTTGCAGATTTATTTGTTTTGAAACTTTACACATGTACTTAGGGTCATAATTGGAGGGTCATAATTGTTGTATATCACTGACCAAGTTCCATAACTCTACTTGCATTAAGGCTGATTCATCTCCCCTTTTCTACTTAGTCTCTTGGTTTATGTTTACATGCAAGTTTTACATATCTCAATAACTATTAAAGATATTTATTTAAAACTTCACATATGCATTTAGAATCATAATTGTAGGTCACTGACCATGATCCATAATTCTATCTTGCATTTAGGCTGATTTTTCTCCCCTTTTTCAGCTTATAAATTCCTGGTAAAGTTTTGCTTGTAAGCTGTTATGTCCATAACTACTGAAGAGTTTGTGCCTTTTTGGGACATTTTTATGCATTCATAATAATAAAGCAGTGATTTACTTGATAAAACATCTTAATAACAAACTTTTGTACCTTTTTCAGTCAATTTTATGTATTCATAGGATATTAGCATTATAATACTCAATAAAACACCCTTGTGACAATTTTTGGATAGTCAGTATTGGCTTGAGTATTCAAAAATTGTCACAAGGGTGAGTATAATAATGCTAATTACTGACTAAGAATTTACGTTCAAGTTGCATACCACCTCAGATATTTTCCTATTCCATTGGAACGCTTCTTGTTTCAGCTGGAAAAATTACAGTATTTATTTTCTTCCATTTCAGAGCTCTAGGATTACAGATTCATTGGCTGATGAGTTCAAATCTCAGTTGGCCACGCCACTTATGGCCATGCATATTGGTACATATGTAGCAATTGGTCTTGGTTCACTGCTTATTTTAGTGGCTATTGCCATCATTGCTTGGAAGAAGATATTTGGTGATGTAAGTATTAATGTGTTATACAGTAAACTGCAGCATGCTTTTAAGTTACTATAAACAATAAATTGCTATACTATTAGGCATACTGTAAATTGCAACACACTAGAGAGCATTGCTATACACTTTTAAGTTGTCTTAAATTGCTACACATTTTATTCTTATTTTATTGCATGAGCATTATAATCTTCATTGTTTTAAATTGTTTCAATGTCTTGTAATATTTTTATTGTTTTCAAAAATGTGTTTATGTGTTTTTCATCATTCCTGTTATCAGTAAGGCATGGGGAATTAGTTGCTATTATATAACACCTTCAGAAAACCTTCACTTATGCATTGAGGAAGCATGTCTGTTTCTTCTTGATATTTGTAAATGTCTGTAATAATATCCCCTTACCCTAAGTGGTCATGGTCACAAACTTTAAATCCATATTCCCTCACTACTGTTGATTAATATTCCATCAGAGACTTCAGGTTCTATTGTGTAAGGAAGATATCTTGCTAGCTTACAGAGATTGTGGTTCTACTTGGGTGCCCGCTCTTACCTGAAATAATGCACAAAGGATCACCTGAGGTTTTTTTCCACCAGGGAAGCTGAGAAGTTGTTGTATGACCTTTACAGTGTTGGCATGACTTGAAATCCAACATCAGGGGAAGTGCAGGAGAGCCTCACTCTTTACTTTTAGCATACAGAAGTCATTACCAATGTTTTCATTCCAAGAGTGACAACTATAAGCCTATTTGTCCAAACATAATGTATTTTCATACAGTTTTTATTGTAAAAAGTAATCATTCATTTTTCTATAATACCAAGAGGGTCTAATTCAATGCCTCTGTATAATGTGTAAAAGAACATAAACATTATTACCAAGAAAGATATTGCACTTATGCTGTTATATTACAATACCAAATTATGATGAAAAATATTGTTATAATTATCAGAAAAATTATGGACCATTGATGAATGAAATGGACAGTATGTAACTTTTCTAAGGTAGACATGGATGTAGGTTTAGAAACACATTTTTAACTCCTAGTTTGCAGTGACTGTCTACTAATAACAATTTTTCTAAGGTCATATTTTGTAATTTAGGTTGTAGAATTTATTTAACTTTCTTTCAACTTTAACTTGTGTTTTATGAAGAAAAGAAAAAAACAAAAACTTTAATGATGTTGAGAAAATGATCTATACTTTTACAGAGTGTAATATTAGATAAAAGATTATTATCCTTAGATTCATACGGAGCCCCTAAGGTGACATTTTCGACACATTTTTCCGGGCATTTAATTCGTTTTACGAAATATTAATTCATTTTTCGAAATATTGATTCTTAATACGAAATATGATTTCGTAATAACAAAATATTAATTTGTAATTACAAAATATTAATTTCATAATTACGAAATATTAAATCGTTTTTAGGAAATATTAATTCATTTTTATGAAATATTAATTTGTTTTACGAAATAACAATTCGTAATTCCAAAATGTTATTTCCTAATTACGAAATAATAATTTGTTTTTACGAAATATTAATTCGTTTTTACGAAATCTTATTTAAGGTCATTGTGACTTTGACAAAAGACCTTCTAATCTCACAAAGGGGTCATTTACAAGCCTGAATCAACCTTGCAATTATAAGCCGAATGGTTCTCAAGTTATTATATAAGTGAACAGGGTTTTTGAGTGAGAAGTCATTCTCAATCCAAAATATACTCTTTTTTCCCCATTGTGAAATACATGTTCCTATCAGCAATGTTTTAATTTTTGAGGCTATTAATCTTTTCTGACATGTTTCTTTAAAAAGAAACATGCTATATTATTACTTTCTTTTATCATATACATTAGTAAATCTAAAAGGGGGGGGGGAACTCCAGATTTTCACTAATCTAATGAATATAAAAAAGTATATGTATAAAGTATAAGTTATGTATGGGCACCGTGCGATCATAAAAAAACATATTTTATTTCAAAACTCAACAACATCGACAAAACGATGGATTTGAAGCACAGGACCCCCATTTTAACAAAATTTTCCTAGTGCTGTTCTACCACGGCTGTGGCGGCAACACTTTTGACAGGCAAATATTTTAATTTATATGTACATAAGTGTTTAGTTAAAAAACTTGGGGAGAAAAAAAATCACTATTTATATTGCATTTACTGCCTTATATTTAGTCAGGAACTTATTTTCAAGTCTTTCTTTATAAATATTACCAAAACTCTTTGACACTCTAGATAGAGAAAAATTATTTTGTATTTACCAATTATTATTTCGTAATTACGAAATAATATTTCGTTAAAACGAATTAATATTTTGCAAAATCGAATTAAAATTTCATAATTACGAAATGTAATTTTGTAATATTTCGTAATTAAGAAATAATATTTCGTTAAAAGGAATTAATATTTTGTAAAAACGAATTAATATTTCGTAATTACGAAATGTAATTTTGTAATATTTCATAATTACGAAATAATATTTCGTAATTACGAATTAATATTTTGTAAAAACGAATTAATATTTCGTAAAAACGAATTAATGTTTGAATTAATATTTCGTAATAACGAATTAATATTTCATTAAAACGAAATAATATTTCGTAAAAACGTATTAATATTTGGTAATTACGAATTATTATTTCGTTAAAACAAATTAAGTTCCCGGAAAAAAAGTGTGGAAAATGTCACCTTAGGGGCTCTGTAGATTCATTTGTTGGATGAGCATTTGAATAAAAGTTTGGCTATTTTACTCGCCTTTACATTGGTACTTTTTCATATGTAGGTAAAACATTTTGTCACAGTTTACATACAGTTTCATAAGTCATTTACCATTGAGGGTACGTTCTGGCATCTTAAATGTGAATCACAGCTATAGATCAGTGTACAAGGCCAATAACTGAATCTAACTCCTTTGTGAAGTATTATACAGGCTATTGTGTGACAGTTCAAGCAAACTGGTTTAATTTTTTTTGAGCACACTTGTCTGACTTAATTGCAGCTTCTAAATTCTGAAATACCTTTCTCTCCACCATATTGTCCTAATATCTAGAAACATTGTTCCTAAATTTCGATATTTAAATCTATATCATTAGTGATAGTTAAACTACAGTTGAGTTCACACTAAATCCACCCTTTTGTGCACCTTCTAGTGCACTAGAGCTTTGAACTGACATGCCAACACCGTGTGCACTCTAGTGCACTAGACCAATATGATCAAGGCTTCTGACCGGGAAAGGTGACACCTAAATTTGTTTATTGGATAATTGCATATCAAGTTTGACAAGGGGCATCCATTGTTAATTAAGCTGTTTGTAAGAAAAACAAAAACTTTGGGAATATAATTTGTGGCCTATTTCAATGAAATATTAATAAGTATAATTTAAAATCGCAGTTGTTAAACTTTTTAAGTGATATCAATGTTAAAAGCTTAAAATTAAAAACAAATATATTTATTATTGTAATAATCAATATTTTTTCTTAACCCAGTAATTTAACCTGTAAAGTTGTAAAATAATACCCCTTTAAAATCAAATTTAATAGAATTAATAAGGTTTAGTTGGTAAAATAATATAATATGCTCCATAATGGATATTTAAATAAGTTGTTTTTTAAAGCTTAATGGCCATGCATTTCAAACTTTTTCTAGTGTCAACAAATTGGAAAAATCTTGACAATTCTGGCCTAAATTAATCTAAGTTTTGTAAAACAACATAAACTTTCTTTTTTCAATAAGCTTCAAAACAAATCAAGGAACAGGTTTTATATTTAAGCTAATAATAAACTTAAGAGACTAATGTCAATCATGTTTTGAATATTGAAAAGAGAATATTTTAAAAAAAATCAATATACTGTGATAAATTTAGTATTCCAACTGTGTAAATGCCTTGACATATGTTTTTAAAGATATAGAATAATTAAAAATATATCCATAAATAAAATAAAATTGATAACTTTATACATGATTTCAATATTAAAGAATTTAATGTATAAGGGGAATTACTTTTTATTGAAGAGGATAAAATCTCCAAGTCATGCTTTGCTGTATTGAGGGAACTTTGTTTTAATTATACAACTCCCTCCTGCTGATAGGAGAGCCTCAGGGTAAATAACAAAGAACAGTCCCAAATTTTGCAGATTATTAAGTATGCCCATTGAAATTAGATTACTATATTAATTGCTCTCCTTAACAGCGGAAAATTTCTATTATTTCATTCGCATTTATCCACATTTCTTTGCCTTAAAACTGCAATAATAATAAATAACTTAAGAGGCAATTCCTCCATGTTCAAGATTTGAAAGAGAATATTAATCATCATTAATCTTTAAAACAATCCATAACACCTGTTGATTATTTATGTTTTTTCAAAACCATGAAAATGCTTGCAATTCTTTTTTTAATTTAGGATATAAAATAATTAAAAAATTTCCATGAAAATAGAATAAAATTGATAACTTTTTAATTCAAGATTTCTATATTAAAGATCCTTAATGTAATAATGGGAATGCTTTAAATACAAGAGGAAAAGTCTTCAAGTCATGCTGTGTATTGGTAAATTTTTTCTGAGAGAGGGACTGTTTTCATTACAACACTGGTCCTCTCTGCTGATAAGAGGGCCTCATGCAGGGTAAATAACAAAAATCGCAGATGTTAATGCAATTATTTTATTTTAAAATTTCCTGTTTTTTTCCCAAAATAAATGTAAGACATAGATAATGATATAATTGTTTGTAATAAATCAAATGTAAAAAATAATCAACAAATGGCAATAAACGCAATGCTTATATTATTATTGTCATTATTGTCTTTTTGAAGTGGAATTTTCTAAAATCCTTATCAATAAAAAACTGATTTAATCATCAATATCAGTTGGGTTAAAATATTCTAGAAAAGAGGCCCTCATATCAATATTTATCCACATTTTTTTTTGCAATTCTTGCATTAAAATTTTTCAAGCATCTTTTTTTTAGTTTCTGAAACCTCGAAAATGTTAATTTTTTTTCTATTAATAGATTTGACCAAATTTGCCTATTGTCAGTTTTCTTAAAAAAACACATTTTAAGAAGATAATATATTTTAAAGAAAATATTTAAAATACATGACTTAGTAAAACCTTTTTTTGCCAACTTCCTTTTTAATCTTTTAATGACAGATCTGTCTTTTTTTTAAAAATAAACATATCATACACTGAAGCAGAAGACCAGCTTTAACAGAAGATTTTCAAGTGTCCAAAAGTCGTGCTGTGTATTGGTAAATTTGTATTATAGTTACCCTGCTGATAGAAGAGCCCCTTAGGGTAAATAACAGGAAAAGGCAGAATGATAAATATAAGTAGGCAATGGTAAATTCTGTTATGTGCAAAAATAAAATTTCATTTACAAGTAGTAACAAAAAGAAAAAAGAAAACTGAAAATATATTTAAAGCATTTTAAATAATGAACTCATAAAAATAATCATATTTGCATAATTATGTTAACCAATGCATGAAAAAAAGAGATAAAAGATTGGTGTTGTCTCAAAAAATGGAAAATGAAAGATTTTCTAATCTTTTTGTTAATATCCATGTCAGTTAAAATATATACCAGTGTCCAACAGGTACATATCCACTTAATCACACAAATTCATACATACCACCATTATATGTAAATATTTTTATTTTCAGAATAATATATATCATTTTCTTTATATTAATCCTAGGTAAATCTTGGTTTGAGCAAGGTAAGAGAAGATTTTAAATTGGAGAGATAAAATTGACAAAATTTTAGGCCAATTATAAACATATTAATTCTTTAAATGTATTAAAGGCTATTAATGCTTAAAATCATAACCTTTAACTAAAACAATTATAAGATAAGATAAAAAAATAACTAATTTGTTATTAATTTGCCCCCCCCCCCCCCCCCCCCCAAAAAAAAAAGACAAAAAAAAAAAAAAACTGAATATTTTTCTGAATTAGCATTTCAACGTTTCATAATTATTTCAATTACCAGAT